AGAGGACTCTCTCACACCAGAAGTGACTTGCAGTTTCTCAACTCGCTCCTGACATGACCAAAAAAAAAAATACACAGAGAGATATAGTATTCTAGATTTGAAAAGGACCCCTGAAGAAGGACAATGATATGTTGCATGTTCCAGAGTAGGCAAACCAGACAATCTACACACCAACATTGACAAAGAAACAACAAGAAATGTCAGGTTGCTTACCTGTAACCGTAGTTTCCCGAGTGGTCATCTGTGAATTTGCACATATGGTACATATGCACAGAAGTACCATATGTGCGTATTCACAGCTGATTACGCAGGGAAAATACTGTGTACACACAATCATCAAGACATTACATATATTAGAAACCAACACTTTTCCAGATCACCAGACTGGGCCACAGCAACGCGTGGCAGGGGACGGCTAGTTGCCAATAAATAACAACTGCTTGGAAGCAACCCTAGGAGAGGCCAGCCACTCCCTCTGTGTCCTGATGATGATTCTAAACCAGGTATGGGCCAAGCGAGGCCCACCCATGGGCCGGATGTGGCCCCTTGGGCTCTTTTCTCGGGCCCTCCCCTCTCTCACCATCCTATCCTGCTATTTTTCCTTCCTCACCTTTCTTTCTCCCTCCCTACTTCCATTCCTCCCATCCATCCTTCCTTTCCTCTTTCCCTCCTTTTCTCCTCCCTTCCTTCCCTCCCTCCCTCCATTCCCTTCCATCCTTCTCTTTCCTCCCTCCATTCCCTTCCATGCAAATTCTCCATTCCTAAATACTCAGCCACTCTTCTTTCCTTGCAGACTGTTAACTAGCCAAGAAGAGTAACACCCAGGGAGGTGGGCCAGAAAATATCATCTGATGTTACCGAGTGAAACAGACTTTCTGGGTGGAAACCTACTCCTCTCTTCACCCTGATGTGGATTTCCAAGCATAAGAGGAGAAGCAAACTTGAGGGGAACAGGATTCCAGTAATTAGCAGGTTCACCTGAATGGGATACAAGCTTTAATTTGCACTTTTCAAATAGTTTAGCTTTCAAAGAAAACCCAAGTTCTCTCCGTCTCTTCTCGCTTACACAAATGCATGAAGGACACACAATAAAAGACGCCGGAGGACGGACACGGAACCCATCGCCAGAAAGGCAGAAGCACAAACCCTTGTGTGGCCCTGGCTTGCGAAATACTCAATAAGAACCTTTCCATATATAGGTAAGTAAAGGTAAAGGTTTCTCCTTGACATTAAGTTGTCGTGTTCAACTCTCAACGTGGTGCTCATCTCCATTTCTGAGCCAAAGAGCAGGCAATGTCTGTAGACGCCAAGGTCATGTGGCCACCGGCATGACTGCATGGAGTGGTTACCTTCCTGCCTGAGCAGTACCTATTGATCTACTCACCTTTGCATGTTTTTGAACTGCTAGGTTGGCAGGAACTGGGGCTGACAGCAGGAGCTCACACCACTCCCTGGATTTAAATCAACCTTTCTGTCAGCTCAGCGGTTTAACCCACTGGGAGCTTCCCATATAGCAGTATCCCATATCCAATGGAAAACTGAATGTTGGAGGACAGAAAAAGAGATTTAAAGACGAGCTCAAAGGCAACCTTAAAAACTCTGGCATAGACAGAGAACTGGGAAGCCCTGGCCCTTGACCGCTCCAGCTGGAGGTCAGCTGTGAGCAGCAGTGCTGCAGAATTTGAAGAGGCATGAATAGAGGGCGAAAGAGAGAAACGTGCCATGAGGAAGGCGCGTCAAGCCAACTCCGACCGAGACCGCCTTCCACCGCAGATGCCCTCACTGCGGGAGAAGATGCGGGTCAAGAATTGGGCTCCACAGTGACCTACGAACCCACCAGAACACTAAGTAATCCCATATCCAAAATACTTAGTACCAGAAACACTTGCATTTACACGTTTGCACATAGTATCTTGGAGATGAGACCCACATCTAGACGCTGAATTCATTTACGTTTCATATACACCTCATACACATAACCTGAAGGTCATTTTATATAATATTTTTAATAATTTGTGCATGAAACAAGTTTATGTACACTGAACTACCAGAAAGCGAAGGTGTCGCTGTCTCAGCCGCCCAGGTGGGCCATTCTGGATCCCAGGTAAGGGATGCTCATGCTGCACTGTGTGTCTTCTGGTGGAGCTCCCACGCAAAACACATGGCCAACTATTTCATCACACTAGAGAATAAATCCACTTTAAATCCAGCTTCTGGCTCTTGCAGAATTCTGGGGTTTGTAGTTCAGGGAGGCTGTTAAAGGCATGCCTTGGTCACCTCTAGATTGGACTACTGTAATGCGCTCTACGTGGGGCTGCCCTTGAAAACGGCTCGGAAATTTCAACTGGTCCAACAGGCAGCGGACAGGATGTTAACTGGTGCTCCTTTCAGAGAGAGGTCAACCCTCCTGTTCAAGGAGCTCCATTGGCTGCCGTTCATTTTCCGAGCCCAATTCAAGGTGCAGGTGCTTACCTACAAAGCCCTGAACGGTTTGGGACCTGCCTACCTGCGTGACCGCATCTCCGTTTATGAACCCACGCGCTCCCTTCGTTCATCCAGAGAGGCCCTGCTCACGATCCCACCTGCGTCACAAGTGCGGCTGGTGGGGACGAGGGACAGGGCCTTCTCTGTGGTGGCCCCCCGACTCTAGAACTCCCAGACAAGCCCCAACGTTGGCAGTCTTTAGGAAGAGCTTGAAGACCTGGCTATTCCAGTGTGCCTTTCCAGAATAGGAAACCCCAGCAACACGTCCCAAAAGCACTTTATTAGATATCTGTGCCCTGCCACGCGTTGCTGTGGCCTATAGTAAAACTTATCAAAGTTGAGGTAGATATCTGGACTATTATGAAAGAGAGGACCCTACCTATTCCTTCCCCTTTTCCTCCCCCTTTCTCTCCTTTCTTCCTTCTCTACCTCTTTCTTTCTTTCACTACTTGGTTTCATCCTTCTCTCTTTCCTTCATTCCCTCCCCCTTTCTTCCTTTGCCTTTCTTCCCTCCCTGTTTGCTTCCTTCTTTCACTTTTTATTTCCTTTTCTTTCACCACCATCATAACAATAACAATAATGCAATGCATTGCCTCTGGGACCTGACACCTCTCCCATTCCCCCTAAAAGGGTCTCAGAGGAACAATAGCATCATAATAATAATAATAGAAATAACAACCTTTACCCGCCACGTGTTGCTGTGGCCAATCTTCCCTCTTTCTCTCCTTCTTTCCCTCCTTCCTTCCTTCCTTCCCTCCCATCTTTCCTTCTCCTCTTCTTTCTCTATCTCTTTCCTTCCTTCCCCCTTTTTCTTTCTTTTCTGCTGTCTCTCTTTCCTTTCCTTCCATCTTTCCTTTTCTTCTTCCTTCTTTCTCTAACTTTCCTTCCTTCCCCCTTTTTCTTTACCTCCCTTTCTCTTTCTTCCTTCTTTCCTTCCTTCCTGTCTTTCCTGGATTTTGACAGGGAGGACGGGGTGGGGGTTGGAGGTGGCGTGAAGTAAAAGGAGGTAAGATTGGGGCAGGGGAGTGATGGAGCGTGGGGTTGTGTGTGTGTGTGGCGGCGGGGGGAGTGATGGAGCGTGGGGTTGCGTGTGTGTGTGCGGCGGCGGGCGGGAAGTAAAAGGAGGTAAGATTGGGGTGGGGGAGTGATGGAGCGTGGGGTTGTGTGTGTGTGTGCAGCGGTGGGGGGAGTGATGGAGCGTGGGGTTGCGTGTGTGTGTGCGGCGGCGGGGGGGGGTGAGGGGCGGCGGGTGCGTGTGGCGGCGGGGGGAGTGATGGAGTGTGGGGTTGCATGTGTGTGTGCGGCGGCGGGGGGAGTGATGGAGTGTGGGGTTGTGTGTGTATGTGCGGCAGGGGTGTGTGTGTGTGCGGGAAGCGGCGCGGCGGGGCTTGGAGTGGGCATGGTTTCCACAGAGGGAACGTTGGCCGGAAGGGCATGTGCGCGCGCCAGGGAACTTGCGGCTGGGCGCCAATGCATGCTCAGTTGTTTTGCCGTTTTGTGAGTGTGTTGTTGTGTTGTTTTTCATTTTGAGTAGATACGTTTGTACCTTGTGGGTTGTGTTATGGGCATGGGAATTTTGGTTAAGTTTCGTTGGGGTTTTTTTGAGTTTTGTTTTTTTGCCGTTTTGAGTGTGTTGTTGTGTTGTTTTTCATTTTGAGTAATATGTTTGTACCTTGTGGGTTGTGTTATGAGCATGGGAATTTTGGTTAAGTTTCGTTGGTTTTTTTAGTTTTATCCTTTTGCCGTTTTGTGAGTGTGTTGTTGTGTTGTTTTTCATTTTGAGTAGATAGGTTTGTACCTTGTGGGTTGTGTTATGGGCATGGGAATTTTGGTTAAGTTTCGTTGGGGGATTTTTGAGTTTTGTTGTTTTGCCGTTTTGTGAGTGTGTTGTTGTGTTGTTTTTCATTTTGAGTAGATATGTTTGTACCTTGTGGGTTGTGTTATGGGCATGGGAATTTTGGTTAAGTTTCGTTGGGGGGGTTTTGAGTTTTGTTTCCTCGTTGGATGCCCCTAACAAATTTATATATATAGATTAAGATTGTCTGCACATTGCACCTATCCAAAAATCCTTATATATTACTCAGCACTTTTTAATCCGTACCCGTTACATTTGCCTGGCCTAGTTTTATTGTATCACGGTGTGTTGTTTTATTGTTTACTGTTATTGCTTTAATGTTTTTGATTTGCTTTGGTTTATATGTAATTGTTATATTGTTGTTTTATTGAGGCCTTGGCCTTTGTAAGCCGCATCGAGTCCTTCGGGAGATGCTAGCGGGGTACAAATAAAGTTAATAATAATAATAATAATAATAAAGCTCAACCCTAAACTACAAACCCCAGAATTCTGGAGGAGGCAGCAACCCGATTTAGAGTGGATTCATTCTCTGGTTCTGCCTAAGGATGCAATTAATGCTGGGGGGCGGGGGGGGGGGGTCTGCAGAGGGATGAATCTATTCCGCGCTGGTTTCAACACAAGTGTCCGGAGGTTTGGAGGAGGCAAAAGCACACACATAAAATAATCATTATTATTTATTAGCTGTACAGCAGTATATTCTCCTTCCCGGAATCCAAACCCCCATTATGTATTTTATAACGTTTTATTTCATGTTTCTTTCCTAAAATAATGAAAAATATCACACAGTACTGCTAAGTACAAAAATGCATCAACCTAGAATTGGATCGCTAACCTGATAGTTCTCTTAAAAGCCATACATAGAAGAAAGTTCTCTTGAAATCAGCAAGGCGGAGGCCCTATAAAAAGCGCACGCCGTCTTTAACACGGGATGGGTTCATGTACAGGCATCGTTTTTGTATTTCACATTATTACTATTATTATTGTTTTTTTCCTTTTTTTAATCGAAGAACCCAAATCTTGCAATTACTGACCTAGTAAAAATTTCCTGCCCATGGTTTCCAGGGCCTGGAAGCCCTATTCGAAATTAACACCTCGGCTTTCGACACAGAATTAATAAACGCAAAAGAAAACGTGACAGCAAAGAAAATCAGAATTGTGAAAAAGGTGAAAATTCAAGAAGGGAGTTGACGTGAGACACCCTAAGTCCATGTCCATAGGAACCAAGCTGGGGGGCAGGTTTTCTGACACATTTCTCCACCGAATTGATACTTTTCCAATGTTTCACAAAGACCAATTCCTGCATAATTCCTTTTTTTTTTTGTTGCAATAGTTTAAAACATGGTTCTTTCTTTAAGCTGCATTTCCCCCCCTTACACCCTTCAAACCTCTTAATCAAATGGGGAAAAAAAAAGATTTAAAGGTTTTTAAAAAAGTTATTTACAAGCTTGATCATTACAGAGATGCCCCGCAGGAAGCAAAGCACCGGGGAGGGAAAACGCCAGCCGGAGCGTGCCAAACCTACGGCGCTGACAGCGGGGCCAGTCATTCATTGGAGGACGAAGAGGAGGAAAAAGCAAAATGCAATAAAACTTGTACAACTCTCCCGAGTCTGCATTTACAATTAAAAATCTCTGTCATGAGAAACAAGGCCGGAGGAGTTCATGGAACGTGCACGCTGATCCAGAGGCTCCTGCTTTCCCCCGACGTTCTCTGTGCGAAGGCTCCGCACGGCCTGCAACAACAACAACGCCGCTCGGGGATCAACTGACTTGCAGGCAGTTCCTGGGGGGGGTTAAACATGGCCCCATGTCGCATGATCCGGTGAGGAGGCTAACATTGAACGGAGAGAGAGTTCTAGACAAATCACTTTCTAAACATCATTTGAAGTTTCGCTTCCTGGGTTGTTTTGAAAAATGGTGTAAAAAAACCCGATGTATTTTCCAAAGCCAAAAATAAGGTCAAAAGAAGAAGAAAAAAAGGAGTGGGGGGGGGGGGGATTGGGCCACTTCCAAAGAGCCCAGGTCAGTTCAGTCACAGCACCACTGCTTCTCCATCACCGGTCCATCATGCTCAGGATCATCTCCGGAGTGAGGTCTCCGTTGGGCGCCTCCACCGCCGCCGGCTGAGCTCCTGCCGCCACCCCAACAGTCTCTGCTGCTGCTTCAGGCTCCTTCTTGACTTCCACGATAATGTTTTCAATTGTACCCGTGGTCTGGTCTTGTACCTGAATGATTGCTGTGGCTGCGGAACGAGGAAGGGGAGAAGTCAACACTTTYGGGATATTTATTTATTTAGAATTTTTGTATACCGGTCTCCTCACCTCCATCGAGGGACTCAGGCYGGTTTCCAACAACAATATCACAAACAATCATTAAAAACATCATATTCCATATTACACTAAAACATTAAAAGAGAAAAATACAGTCATATAATTACAATGSTCACTCGTCACAATAAAATTGTTGTTCATCATCATCCATCCATATCACAGGATATTGRCTCACTCGTCGAATGCCAGTTTCCAGAGCCACATTTTCACCTGTTTTCTAAACGTCAGGCTAGAAGGGGCAGTTCTTATCTCCAGTGGAAGGGAGTTGCAGAGTCGAGGGGACACCACCGAGAAGGCCCTGTCCCTCGTCCCCACCAGACACGCTTGTGAGACCGGTGGGACCGAGAGCAGGGCCTCTCCAGACGATCATAACAATCTTGATGGTTCATAGAGGAGAATACGTTCAGACAGGTAAACTGGGCCGGAGTCGTTTAGGGCTTTATAGGTCAACACCAGCACTTTGAATTGTGCTCGGAAGCTAACTGGCAGCCAGTGGAGCTGACGCAACAGAGGAGTCGTATGCTCCCTGTACCCCGCTCCTGTTAGAAGTCTGGCTGCCGCTCGTTGGCCTAGTTGTAGCTTCCGGGCAGTCTTCAGAGGCAACCCCACGTAGAGAGTGTTGCAGTCATCTAAATGGGATGTAACCAGAGCGTGGACCACCGTGGCCAAGTCAGATATCACTTTTCCAAAAAACAAGGAAAACTGCATAATGGTTGCTTACAACTATGGAAGGAAGAACTGCGGTAACTGATAACTGTCCATTAATACCTAGCAAATATATCCTTAAATTCTAACAGTATCCTAGCGAGCAGGCACAACATATTCTGGGGAAGTTAGGGGACTGAAGACCTCTGTGGAAGTGGGAATACTGTGAATACAGTGACTGTAAGGCTCCCGTTTTTAGGCTTGCCAAGGGAATGCACGCAGGGAATGCACGCCCCCTTGCAGCATGGGTCACGTGTACATGCACATGCACACAAAGACTGGGCCAAGGATCACCACTGCCAACCATTTCTGGGTCACTGTGAATGAATTAAACTTTATTTATAGCCCGCCCTATCTCCCAAAGGAACTCAAGGCGGCTCACAACAAATACACAGTGGCAAACATTCAATGCCATCAATAACATACAAAAAAACACCTCAGTACATTATAAAACAACTTAAGAAAACTGTATGTGACACAATACACATACCGTATATTCCGGCATATAAGACGACTGGGCGTATAAGACGACCCTCAACTTTTCCAGTTAAAATATAGAGTTAAGACGACTCCCATGCATAAGACTACACCCACGTATAAGACGACCCCTGACTTTTGAGAAGATTTTCTTGGGTTAAAAAGTAGTCTTATACACCAGAATATACTGTAATTACAAACATTTAAATCCTTAAAATCTAATTAAAAGGCTCTAAAATTGGGCTAAAAATGTTGGAAGGGGGATGGTGATAGTAGTTCATAACCTCAACATACAGCTGATTGTAGATTGGACTATTGCAATGCGCTCTACGTGGGGCTGCCCTTGAAGACGTCCCGGAAGCTCCAACTGGTACAATGGGCGGCAGCCAGGCTCCTTACCAGAGCAAACTATAGGGAGCATACAACACCCCCTTTAAAACAGCTTTACTGGCTACCGATAAGCTGCCGAGCCAAATTCAAGGTGCAAGTTATGACCTATAAAGCCCTAAACCGTTCAGGCCCCGCCTATCCTCGCGATCGCATCTCCCTCTATGAACCGACATGAACCTTAAGATCTTCTGGGAAGGCCCTCCTTTTGCTCCCACCACCGTCATAAGCATGGTTGGTGGGGATGAGAGAGAGGCCCTTCTTAGTGGTGGCCCCCCATCTCTGGAACACCCTTCCAAGGGAAGTAAGACAGGCCCCATCTCTCCCCTCCTTTCGTAAGAGCTTGAAGACCTGGTGGTTTCAACAAGCCTTTGAAAATGACCAGTTCTAACTCAGCCCTACGAAATCATAGAATCAAAGAGTTGGAAGAGACCTCATGGGCCATCCAGTCCAACCCCCTGCCAAGAAGCAGGAATATTGCATTCAAATCACCCCTGACAGATGGCCATCCAGCCTCTCTTTAAAAGCTTCCAAAGAAGGAGCCTCCACCACACTCCCGGGCAGAGAGTTCCACTGCTGAACGGCTCTCACAGTCAGGAAGTTCTTCCTCATGTTCAGATGGAATCTCCTCTCTTGTAGTTTGACGCCACTGTTCCGCATCCTAGTCTCCAAGGAAGTAGAAAGGAAGCTTGCTCCCTCCTCCCTGTGGCTTCCTCTCACATATTTACACATGGCCCTCATCACGTCTCCTCTCAGCCTTCTCTTCTCCAGGCTAAACATGCCCAGCTCCTTAAGCTGCTCCTCATAGGGCTTGTTCTCCAGACCCTTGATCATTTTAGTTGCCCTCCTCTGGACACATTCCAGCTTGTCAATATCTCTCTTGAATTGTGGTGTCCAGAACTGGACACAACATTCCAGGTATTATTGAAATTGGCCACATCTTTTCCTACCAATTACCCAGGTCACTTTCTTCTATGAAGCCCTGGAAATGTACAGCCATATAGTCTACCTAATTTCCCGGGCCCTCTAAAATCGCCTTGGCCCTTTTAAATTGCCTTGAACAGGCAGCTTATTTATATATATATGCGCTATTGTGCTTTTTAATGCTTATATTATCTTGTTAATTTTATGTTTATGTTGTTTTCTTTGTATGTATTGATGACGTTATTTGAAAACCGCTCTGAGTCCCCTCGGGGAGATAGATTGGTATATAAATAAAGTTTGTTGTTGTTGATTGCTCATGAATGTTTTTGTTATAAATTCTGTTTCTTCTCCTTCTTGTGCAGTTGAGAGAGCAACCCTGGCTTCAAGATGGGGGACCAAGTGATTGCCTCCGCCATGAGCCCTCTCCTGAAGCTGGAGTTGCATGCACACATTCACACAACACCCCCAGCTTTGAGAATGGGCTGGCAGTGGTGCTCATTCAACCCACTCCTTCCCCAGCCTCTTCAGGCATGGGGCATGCTCCTAGAACTGAGAGAAGCAGCAGGGCATCTGCCCGGGATTTCCCAGCACCGCAGAGAGCAGAGGAGGTGTTGCTTCTTGTGAGCTCTCAGCACAGAGCAGGCTTCCGTGACCTAAGCTTAGCTCCTGCTTGCAGAGCCTGAAAGAAGCAACGCCTACTCTCATCTCCAGTGACTCCTTCGGGGGCATCTTGGCTATAGGTGAGGAAACCAAGGGGACAGCGCTTCCTTCTGGCTCCGCCAGCACAGTGGAAGCTCTCAAACCCCAACAGGAGCTGAGTCCATGCTGAGAGAATCTGAAAGCAATGAGGCAGCCGAAGATAGAACTACTGTGCGACCATGCACACAGTAACCATGGCTTTAGGTTGCTGCAGAGATAACTCCACCCCACCTGAGGATGTGGCGGCTGCTGTGTGAAGGTCCCCATGGCTGCTCCAGATTCAGGAGGAAGGAGGAGGACTGCTCCTGAAACTCAAGGTTGCAATGTGTACATTCACACCAAGGCCTCAGGTCTCAGAAGAGGGGCCTGGTCACCAGGTTCACACTCCTCCTGCCCCTTGGCCCAGATAGGAAATGGGCTGAGGCAAGGTTTTGAGGGCCTGGACTCAGTCTAAGGCAGGCATGAGCAAACTTGGGCCCTCCAGGAGTTTTGGACTACAACTCCCACAATTCCTAACAGCCGCAGGCCCCTTCCTTTCCCCTCTCAGCCGCTTAAGCTTTGTGACTGTCAGTCAGATCTGGTTCCATATCTCCTTCTCCGTCCTCACCTCTTCATCCCTCCCTCACACCCCATGCAAAAACCTAGCCCCTGAATCAGGAATACAGTGCCTTCCACTTACGCTGGGGTTGTTTTGGTTGGTTGGCTTTGCCTGGTGGCCTCCCTCTTCGCTTCTTAGCTGGTGGAGGTGGAGGAGCAACAACAGGTTCCTCTTCAGGTACAGCTTCGATTTCAACTGCCGTCTCTTCCTCCTCCTCCTCTTCAATATCATACAACTCTGGCTCGGCATTTTCCTCTGCAACGTTCAAATAAGTAAGTAAGTAAATTCAGGGCAATGAGCACTGAAGGCAAGAATCTTGTAACAGACTGAATATGTTCATCTTCGAGATGGGTTGCTTTAAGTTTTATTCGGAAATGAAATCCACAATTTTGCATATGGAAGCCAGAATATTATTGCTAGGAAGGTCACCACCATGCCTAGAATGCCTTCCACACTTTCAGTCCACTATTACAGTTAAGAGAGTAGGAGATGGCACTTATGTACTCAAACATATACAGAGTGAGGTCAGCAGCATGAAGTGTTGTAGAGGTTTAATTATTTAACTCTGGAATGTCCTCCCCAGGGAAATTAGATAAGCACCTATCCTTACAACATTTAGGAAGGAAGCAAAAACCTGGCCTTTCAAGCAGGCTTTTAGTAATGGCTAAAAGAAAAAAACCCTATTGGACAGGATTTTAACAGTTTATGACTATAATTTTATCTAGAGACTCTAATAATAGGAATAGATGGTTAAACAGCGCCATATATTGTTTTTATAGGGCTTCTAACATTGTTTGCTTATTTATACTCATATTATTTTCTTGTTCTGTTATATATTAATTGATATGTGATTATTTTTGTACATCACTTATTGTATTTTTTTGTTGTGTTGTAAGCCGCCCTGAGTCCCCCTGGGGGGGGGGGGGGAGTGGGGTATAAATAAAACTCATTCTTAGTAGTAGTTTTATTTTGTGCCTGCTTTCTGCTGAGTGACATTAACTGCCTTCAGTGTCCCACAAGAGAGTGAAAATGCAAGATTTTAAAAATATATACAAAATACATTAGTAACTTCATAAAGAATGTCCTCATCTAAGTTCTGTGTGAGATACTGAGCTTTAAACTTCCCTATGAATTTCCCCCCTCTAACACCTTCCAGAATGTGTGCTGGCATGAGCAGATGAATAATTACACTTTTTTACTCATTGTTATCTAGTTCCACCAAATGGTTGGGAGTGTTGCATTAGGTTAAATGTTCGCAAAACAGATGTTCACCCAGAAGGCAGGGTCTATGGACAAATGTTAAGAAGCTGGCAACAGAGTTGCTGTGCCCACCAGAAAGTTACTTCTTCTGAAGCAAGTGCAAGGCTGGGGAAATAAACCATGGGGTATGTAACTGTGAATCTGTGATGATTTGCAGGCTGACGTGCAAGGCTAGGATGTCTCATTTGGAACCGGTTCTTACCGCTGTCAGAGGAGTCCTCCTTCTTTGAGCGCATCTTTCTCTTTCGACCTCGCTTCCCCTTCTTGGGCTCCCCTCCGTTCTCTCCTTCAACACCGTCGGGGCCTGTGCAGTTATCCGCATGCCTGGCCATAGTATTCTGATCAGGGAAAGGGAAGAAAACAATAGAAATGGGCACTACCTGATGGATATCCAGTGTGGCATACTGGTATATTAACTGTGTGTGGAAGACACACAGCAACTATCTGATGAGACATGACTGAACCCATCTTGTTGAATCAAAATGTACAGATCTGATCCTCTAAACCAGTGGTTCTCAACCTGTGGGTCCCCAAATGTTTGGCCTACAGCTCCAAGAAATTTGTAAACTAGCTAGGATTTCTGGGAGTGGTGGGCCAAAACCCCTGGAGACCCACGTTTTCTGCTTTAAACTGGATTATTATATGTCTGCACTGCCAGATAATCTGGGATAAGCAGTAAACCTGGGATCAGATCCTGGGATATAGGGCCTCTCCAGAAGGGCTCATAGAATGGCTTCTTTGATAGAAAACAAATACAAGCCTTCCAAATTTGTTTTTTCCACAGGTGGCAGTGGAAAAAAATACAGGGCACAACACATCCAGTAATCTTTAATTGTATTTTAACTTTATACACGCTGATATTTAATTGTTTTTAATTTTTTTGTATTTGTTTCATTTTTAAATTTTATTAGGTTGTGTGGTTGTTAGCTGCCTCGAGTCCCTATGGGGAGAAAGGCGGGATAGAAATTATATTAATACTACTAATAATGATACATTTTTTAGCTTTTGCACTAATTCTTTTTTTTAAGTGGAAACATTTCCAGGAAAAGATTGTGTGGGAGTGGCTGTCAGCAGAACAACCTCTATCCAAGTTGATTTGGGATTGTTACCACCAAACTACAGTCAGGGCCTTGCAGATACCCCAGTGAAGAGCTGCACCCACCATCATAGAATCATAGAATCAAAGAGTTGGAAGAGACCTCATGGGCCATCATCCAGTCCAACCCCATTCTGCCAAGAAGCAGGAATATTGCATTCAAATCACCCCTGACAGATGGCCATCCAGCCTCTGTTTAAAAGCTTCCAAAGAAGGAGCCTCCACCACACTCCGGGGCAGAGAGTTCCACTGCTGAACGGCTCTCACAGTCAGGAAGTTCTTCTTCATGTTCAGATGGAATCTCCTTTCTTGTAGTTTGAAGCCATTGTTCCATTGCGTCCTAGTCTCCAGGGAAGCAGAAAACAAGCTTGCTCCCTCCTCCCTGTGGCTTCCTCTCACATATTTATACATGGCTATCATATCTCCTCTCACCCTTCTCTTCTTCAGGCTAAACATGCCCAGCTCCTTAAGCCACTCCTCATAGGGCTTGTTCTACAGACCCTTGATCATTTTAGTCGCCCTCCTCTGCATACATTCCAGCTTGTCATATCTCTCTTGAATTGTGGTGCCCAGAACTGGACACAATATTCCAGATGTGGTCTATCATATTTTACATTATCATGTTTTCAGTATTCGGTGTAATAATTCTGGATCAATTACACTAGGGATGGGAAGAAAACTGACTAGCCAATTAGCAGAATATTAATCAGTTTGTTTTTTGTCCCCTAGGATCCCCAACCCTAATAGTAGACACCAGCAAACTTGTGACCTTGGATGTTGGTAGTGATAACACATTCTGAATCAGAGGCATCCTCTTCCTTGTTAATATCCATTTACCTGAGCTACTATTTTTCATCTCACTAAGCTTACAGAATTCAAGGTTCCACTAAAACAAAGTTCATCTCGCAAGCTTAAAATGCAACTTACACGCCGTGTGAACGTTTTGCCACATTTGGAGCACACAAAGGCAGCTGGGACAAAGTTGGGATCGTGGTAGCGTTTGAAGTGCATGTCGAGCAGCTGCTTCTGACGGAAGGTTTTGTCACAATGGCTACAGGCGTAAGGCTTTTCCCCAGTGTGGGTTCGCTTGTGCATGATCATGTGCCTCTCCTAGAAAGGGCCCAAGAACAAGTAATCACTGTACAAAGAAGGAAAGGTTTTGGCAACTTTCTAGAGCAGGGCTTCTTAATTTTTCCCCACTTGCAATATTCTTTGGAGTCATATTTTTCATGTGACCCAGGAAGTTATATAAGAGGTTGAAAAATCAAACATTTACTGATAACAAACCAGTATTTGCAAGCCTTGCTTAACAGGCTGGTTTTCTTCTTTATGAAATAAGCATCTTCTGTTGAACTCCTTGCAAACACTGTACAACAGATTTGTGCAAATATCTAAAACAGCCACTAGCTGGACAAATTATTTAGGACCCCAACATTGAGATAAGGTGACCCATTTAGGATGAGGGCCTATAGTTTAAGGAGCCGTCCTGTAATGGTTTTGTGTAACCAATGTTTCCCACTCCATTTGCTCACCTGTCGACATGCATAGTCACACTGGTCGCACTTAAAGCGCTTCTCATTCTTGTGAGATTTCTGATGCTGGATGAGTGCATATCGTTCATGGAACACAGCGTCACAGTAACGACACTTCTTGCCCTGCTCGATGTAGGAATGCTGCTTCCTCAAATGGACACCTGGTCACAGAAACAAAGAATGCTAGGATTTTGTTACACAGCACTCAGGCTTATTTCTTGAAGGCTACTTTAGCATGACGATAAACTTCTGAATTCTAGCTCCAGAAGAACAAACATCTTCTGCATTTGCTTTTATTCCCCATTTACTGAAACTCTTCAGGATATGCTGAAACAGAGGAACTACAATCAATATATAGACGGATGTGTAACTAAGATAACACTAGAGACACAATAAGTCACTTTAACAAAGAAAAATCAATAACTAAAAAATCTATCTGTCTTAATTCACACAATATCCAGGTTGTTTCTCACAAATCCAACGGTCAGTGATGACCCCCTCAATTCTGTTCCCTCTCAACTTTGTTCTATTCTCTCAATGACTTTTTTTCCCTGCAATGCACTCACCTAAGTCACTCTTCCGTGCAATAACAGTGTCACAGTGAGGGCAGTGAAACTTGGCCACGTTCTCTGTGTGCTTCTGCAAGATGTGCATCTTCATAGTCCCGCTCTGGGTGAAGCGGGCGTGGCAAATGTAACACTCATAGGGCTTCTCACCTTTCAGAAGAAGGGAAAGAGATAGCTGAGCACAAAAGTCTCTGTTGTGTAAGCAACAAGGGTCAGAAGTGCAGGAGGAAACTTGGGAAAGACTATTCTCCATCAGAGCCAAGAGAAGGGATAAAGACAAATTAGGAAAATCTCTCAACTGCTGTGAAGCAGATACAACAACTAAGGTTCTGTTTGCACCAATGTATTTCTCCTCCTTTCTCCTAAACAAAACTCTCGCCTTTACCCACACAGCTGTTGTTAGAAAACATTAAATTTTGGCATTCTGCTACGAGATGCTATAAATCTCAAAATTTCCCACTTCTTGTTGGACTGATCAGAGAAGCAACTCTTTATCTTGGCAGGCTGTAACCCAAAACACTTAAACAATAATGTGGAAGCCATTTCTGCCCCTTTCCCATGACAATACAGAAACTTCAGAAGTGTTTCAGGTCAAGGGAGCAACACAAAAAGAAGGCCCAGCACAGGCTGCCATTTGCCCACAGCATAATCCGTACCAGAATGAGTCCTCATGTGCCTCTTCAGTTTGTAAGTGTCTCTGCTGGCATAGCTACACAAGCTGCACTGGAATGGACGCTCTCCGGTGTGAGAGCGAATGTGGCGTTTCAACTTGCTGACCTGAAAGCCAGGAATGACCAAAATGGGATTAGCAACACAAAGACCATTCTGTAGTGAATTTCTAGTCACAATCAGCCCACACAAGTACCCATGTTATCATTCTGATATGTGCTTTTCTTGAATTATATGTTGAGAAGAAAAAGGTCTGAAATATCTGTTGGAATGCAAACAAACAAACAAACAAACAAAACCCCTCATGCATATGCCCAATATTATTTTTCAAAATATTCCTTTTTTCCTGAGTTAACCCTTTGCATTGCTTTTGCAAATTCAGAATAGTTTTACATCTCTTATTAAAAATACTTGCAAATATTTGTTTTCAGAAGAGACAGATTTTAGACTATGAGGTGTCATGAAGGAATGTATTTTTCTGAATTAAGAATTCTGCTTTTTAAGTCCCCACACATATACACTTTGCCATATAAAATTGGACAAATGGGGTACTCCTGAACATCTAAAACAAGTGGTGCAATTCTCTGGACAATGGCCACAATCACAATTTCAAAGAAACATTGATCCCCACCTTGCTTTTGACAGCTGATGCACTCAAGTGACAGACCCCAGGAATTTTGACTCAGAAGCAGACACCCTCAGGTAACCCATCAAAAATCATCAGCTGCATCAAAAATGTGTAAAACTATGCCTCAAAAAATTCCTCTCTTTCTCCCCCATTCATTTATTATTATTATCATTATGTTTATTTATATCTTTTTATCTCCATACAAAGCAGATTTATCTCTGCATCTTGCAAGCCCACCTGCACTGCAAAAAACCTATCTTTGTGAAATGTTTTGGATGTCCAACTTAACAGATTGTAAGAAGGAAAAGAGAGCTCACGAAGAGAGGTTACAAAAAGACAAACTGTGTTTTGCCAGGGCAGATGGGCAGTTTAAAACAGTGAACAAATCCTTCAATATATCATAATAATCTTTCAGCCACAAGACACCACAGGCTAAGCAAAAGAATCAGCCATTGGGGAAAAAACACCAGAGTCAGAAGTTAACATGGCTAGGAACGAGAAGAGAATCAAAACACACCTCCACACTGGCATAGTCGCACATGGAACACTTGAATGGCTTCTCATGGGTATGTTTATAGCGGCGATGCCGAACTAACTCACCACTTGTCACAAAGGCCATGTCACAGTCAGGGCACTTGTGAGGACGAGTACCTGAAGAATCCCACAGACAAAAAACATTTCAGAACTTTCAACATTAAAGAATGACAATTCTTTATCATCAACATTAAAAAATGGCAATCTCTAACCAACTCTCTTGTGACAACTTGGATAATAAAACAGGAATTTCTGGGATTTTTTTAGGTATAGCATTTTTATGAAGCTGCTGCTTCATGAAAAGTTGTATTTTAAAGGTACTTTGCAACATGAAGGTTACAAGCAATGGTTTGGGGAATCTGCAGAGATACAAAAAATCAGGTCTCTTATATTGGGCATTAATTTCTTCCCCATCTTTATTAGCCTCAAATATCTGCAGCTCTATCTCTATTGTCCCGGTTAAAGACTGTTCACCCAAAAGGAAATCCATTCACTATCTGCACTTATCCAGAGAATCAAGCACAGATGTTACAAGTTAGAGATTCTGGGACTGATTGTACCTGTATGAGTGTTGAGGTGGTTTCTCAGCAGCGTGACTGTCCGGAAAGCTCTGCCACAAAGGTGGCACTTGTGTGGCCTCTCATCAGTGTGGCTTTTCATATGACGATCCAAGTTTGAACGACGTGGGCAAGTATAACTGCACAGTTCACACTGGAATGTCTTTTTCACACCTGTCCAGAAAACAAGACCCTTCAGAAATCTAAAAAATGACAGCTTTTCTATACACAACTCATCAAAGCGTACCATACAATAGAAAGTCAATGAATAGGCATTCAATTATCTGACCCATGTCCATTTTTTTAAATCAAGCAGAATAAAAGACAATTCTCCCAATCTTGATAAGTGAGTCAACCTTATAGCTTTCTGGTTCCAAACTTTACTAGGCAAAGCAACATATCACCCCTGTATCTGTATTTTAATGCACAATAACAACAGATTCTTCAGGAGTAGGGGTGGGAGGGAAATTGGGCCACTGAAGATACCAGGAAAAAAATCAAAACACATTTCCAAGTATGTCCATGTTTTAGGCAGTGTTTTGTGCAAGGAAGGGACACTGTCAGTCCTCCATATTTGTACAGGACCCCAATGAAAGTGGAAAGAACACCTCCACACTTTTTCAACCTGAGAAAACATCTCTCTAGGAACCCCTAGATCCTCCAGCACCACTCTATGGTCAACTTCCTCTTGACCACAGAATTGCAATGGAGAATCTAGTGATTTCTGGAGAGGTGTTCCCTCGTAGAAGCTCTAGATCCCCCCCCCCAAAAAACGTGCTTTATGCTCCAGTGGAAGCTGACTGCAGAGCCACATTGTAAGTCCTAGAGAGCACATTTTAATCGAATTAGTGAAAAAACAAGTCCACAAAAAGTCAATAGACCCTATAGCAAAACTTCAGATTAAGCACAGATCTTAAACATTCCCCAAGTCTCCCAATCCACAGGTCTACATACCTTTCTTTTTAATTTTTGTTGGTTTTGGGGGCTTCATGTTGCCCACCACCTTTTCTGCATTGACTTCTGAGAGCAAGCCCTCCTGCTGCTCCTCTTCAAAATCATAGACAGACACATCCACATCCTTCCCCTCCTCAGTGTAACGCAGTTTGCTTTTTTTGGTTTTCTTTGTCTTTTTGGCTGGGGGCTGATAGTCTGGGTCCTTCTGCCAACCAGGATCCTCCTGGGGCTGAAGTTCCGCTTGCTCCAGAGTCTCCACCTCCCCATTGGCCCCAACTTTTACTACCTGGAAGCCTTCTGGCAAAGGGAGGGTGTGGCAGATCATGGGCTCCCCCTCTTGGAGGCCTCCTTTGGAGACCTCGTTTTCATAGGCCCCCTGAAGATCTTCCACTGACGTCGTAGCAACAGGTACAGACACAGGAACAGGCACCTGGACAAGCTGGAGTTCACCAAGGTTTATAGGCTGCTCTTCCATATTTACAACCTGCAAGGTTATTATCTGTGTGTCATCGACAGTGGCCTCTGCTTCCTGCTGGACGGCACCCTCCATGACTTCGGTCTTCATCTGAAGCAGTGTTGGATCTAGTTGCTCCATCATGACCATCTGGACACCAGTATTTACATCTTGTACTACTTCAGTTCCATCTGCCTGGTTGGGTGGAATTGAGCAAGCATCGTCCTCTTGCCCACCCTCCCGGCGTCTTTGATACGTCTTCCTTTCTTTGCCTTTAATGAAAGTTTCAGACTCTTCGCCAATAGCCTCAACCGGTTCGCCTTCCATGTCACCGTTCTGCTGGGGGGAAAAGACAGTGAGAAAGCGAGAGAGATTGAGGGACAAACATTTCTATATAGGAAGACGTCTTGGCATTTTACATGAACCAATGATAGAGATTTCCACCAATTTGGCAATTTCATCAGACAAATATGACAGACTGAATTTGCTACAGAGTTGCCAAGAATTCCAAGAGAAAACAACAACCTTTATTTATATCCAGCCACCATCTCGCTGGAGGGACTCAGGGCGGCTCACAAAAGCACTTAAGAGTACGACAACACACAGAATACAACAAGGTTAAGCATAAAAAACAATCCATAACAATCAGTGAATTTGAAAAAGTTGGCTTGTTGTGGGAACAGTGATTGGTGAGAAAGCTTCAGTAGACACCTTTTCCACATAATAACTCTTTCAGGAGTGAATTTCCCTTCCGAGGGGTAGATTTCTCTCACTGATTGTAACTCAGTGACTGCCTGCACTCTCCTAAGGCCAGGCCACTGTAGGAAAGCCCTCTGATTACCAAATGACATAGGAAAATGGAACGACAACAATGAGACCGGACAACGTTTTTAACGAAGAGACACTATGAATTTATATTTTACTAGCGGTCCCCTGCCAGGCGTTGCTGTGGCCCAGTCTGGTGATCTGGAAAATAAAGTCATGAGAAAGTGTTGGTTTCTAATATATGTAATTCCTTTATGCTTGCGAGTAAACAATATTTCTTGTTGTTTCTTTGTCAGTGTTGATGTGGAGAGTGTCTGGTTTGCCTACTCTGGAATATGCAACATATCATAGTCCTTCTTTAAGGGTCTCTTTCAAATCTCTGATACCATATCTGTGTGTGTGTCTGTGGGAGAATCATCTCTATCTTTATTTATGACTGGATGGCTCTTTGTCAGGAGGGCTCTGATTACGTTTTCTTGTCCTGGTGAAGAGAGTTGGACTGGGTGGCCTTAAGTATTTTCTATTGGTCATGGGGGTTCTGTGTGGGAAGTTTGCCCCATTTCTGTCGTTCGTGGGTTTCAGAATGCTCTTTGATTGTAGTGAACTATCAATCCCAGTAACTACAAGTCCCAAATGTCAAGGTCTATTTCCTCCAAACTCCATCTGTGTTGATATTTGGGCATATGGAATATTTGTGTCAAGTTTGGTCCAGATCCATCATTGTTTGAGTCCACAGTGCTCTCTGGATGTGGGTGAACTATAATTCCCAAATTCAAGGTCAATGTCCTCCAAACCTTTCCAGTTTTTTTGTTGGTCATGGGAGCCCTGTGTGCTAAGTTTGGCCCAATTCCATCATTGGTGGAGTTCAGAATGCTCTTTGATTGTAGGTAAACTATAAATCCCAGCAACGACAATTCCCAAATGACAAAATCAATTTTTTTGAGTGGAGGACATAAATTGGACTGTTAGGTGTCTTGTGTCCAAATTTGGTGTCAATTCCCCCAGTGGTTTTTGAGTTCTGATGGTAGCACGAACTAACTAACATTACATTTTCATTTATATAGATTGATACGTTCAATTTTTATTCTATGTTATGTTTTTAATTGTATTTATGATATTGTAAGCATTGAATTTTACCCTGTTAACCGCCTTGTGTCGCCTACGGGCTGAAAAAGGCGGTATACAAATACAGTAAATAAATAAATAAATAAGGCTAATTTGGCAAAATGTAATCAGAATTAAGCCATTGGAGTGAGGGGCGGGAAAATAGAACTACAGTGGCCTGCAACTTCACCAATTTAAATCATATCTTTTGAAAAGCCATTTTAGCCAAAAATATATGTAAAAGCAATTAGGCTGAGCTATTTTCCAACTCTGTTTGCTCCTTTGTGCCCTTCTATACTACCTGCTCAAAAGCTCCCGGAGAGTAATGGGAAAAGAACACAACTACTTGTTTTCACGGCAGAAAAGAGCTTTAAAAAAGTAACAGATAAAGTGGTTATTTGGTGGTGAATCTTAACTTAATGGTGGAAGTGGAAATAGGCACAGCTGTACAAGGGATTTTAGTTTTGAAATAAACAATCCAAGGAAAAAGAACACACAGAAGAGCAGTACTTTTAAAAACAACAACCACAGAACTATATTTATTACTTTTTTTCCTTCAAATCATTTCTGACTTATAGCACAGGCAGTCACTGAGTTACAAACACTCTTAAGGCAGTGTTTCTCAACCTGGGGGTCGGGACCTCTGGGGGGGGATCACGAGGGGGTGTCAGAGGGGTCACTAAAGACCATCAGAAAACAGTATTTTCTGTTGGTCATGGGGGTTTTGTGTGGGAAGTTTGGCCCAATTCTATCGTTGGTGGGGTTTAGAATGCTCTTTGATTATAGGTGAACTATAAATCCCAGCAACTGCATCTCCCAAATGTCAAGGTCTATTTCCCCCAAACTCCACAAGTGTTCACATTTGGGCATATTGAGTACTTGTGCCAAGTTTGGTCCAGATCCATCATTGTTTGAGCCCACAGTGCTCTCGGGATGTGGGTGAACTACAACTCCCAAACTCAAGGTCAATGCCCACCAAACCTTTCCATTATTTCCTTTTGGTCATGGGAGTGCCAAGTTTGGTTCAATTCCATCATTGGTGGAGTTTAGAATGCTCGTATGATTGTAAGCGAACTATAAATCCCAGCAACTACAACTCCCAAATGACAAAATCAATCCTCCCAACTCCACCAGTATTCAAATTTGGGCGTATTGGGTATTTGTGCCAAATGTGGTCCAGTGAATGATAATACATTCTGCATATCAGATATTTACATGACGATTCGTAACAGTAGCAAAATGACAGGTATGAAGTAGCAACAAAAATAATTTTATGGTTGGGGGTCATCACCACATGAGGAACTGGATTAAGGGGTCACGGCATTAGGAAGGTTGAGAACCACTGCTCTAAGGCAATCATTCCCTGCCTAAGAATGACTTCCCTAAGGTCGTCAACTGGGGTTTCATGGAGGAGTGGGAAATTCAAACTTTGGTCATACTGCAAAAAATTCAAATTCTAGGTGACCCTATTATAAATTTCTGCAAAACTGGTGTGCTTCTCGCTGCTACGGGAAAACAGAAGTGGCTACTGTCAGACCATAAAAGTAAAGTAATTGCACCAAGAATGGGGTGGGAGAATATAGTCAAAAGTAAGAAGGTTTTACAATCGTAGTTCCTACCACAAAACATCACTGCATTCTAGAAATAATATCAGCAAAGGTTCAGAATTTCAGGGCTTCTGCATGTAGAGGACTGCTGTCATTGTTACTTTTATTTCTACCCTGCCTTTCTCCTCATAGAGATTTAAGGTGGCTAACAAATAAACACACTCAATAAAAATGTAAAACAAAACATACAATTTGAAAAATATTTGCGGGTGAATACAAAAGTCAACATACAAAAAATACCATTAAAATTACACCCCCTCAAAATTTCACCCACAACCATCCTTGCTACCTGCATCTCATTCTTCCCCAAATGTCTGATTTCAAAGAGAATGTTTTAAGTTGTTTGGGGGGGGGGGGGGATATCATCCTAGTTTTAACATTCATTTTTATTGAGAAATACAGAAAAGATACAGACAAAACAGTTAGAGAAAACAATATTCAAACAATCCTAGTTTCCCGTGAGACATAGAACTAAAACTACAACGAGCAGAACTAGATCTAAAACAATGATCCTAACCAATACAAACCAAGCACAATGAAACCTTAACTCTATCTGCTTGGGATGTTAAATGATCAACTCAATAGAACATGGGGAAAGTTATTGCTATACATGACAACAGCAGCAAAAATTACCTATGCTCAAAGATGGAAAGACCGATGATTCTGTCACAAGATGATTGGCTTATGAAAATAAGTGAAGCTGCGGAAATTGATAAATTGATTATGCTGATTAAGGAGAAATCTTTTAACTCCAGAAATTTCCTCCAGTAAAGATGAGGCCTATTTTATATGCTCTGTCTGCACGGTTGTAGCCTTGCATTCCGCCCCGAAGCCCCTTTTGGGGATTGAAATAATAATAATAATAATAATTATTATTATTATTACTACTACTATTATTATTATGAAGGCTGTGCGAGGAGACGGGGGCCAGGCTCCCCTCAGTATCCGCGGTGTCAGGGACGGCGTCCCCCCCTCCATCACTGGTCTTTTGGACTAGAAGTGTGTTATTATGTGGGGAAAGGCTGTCCAATGGTTTCTTTTCACTAAATGGGTATAGAAAACTGAGACTATAACAACCAGGCAGAGAATGTAAAGCTTTCTATGTAGGTTTATGTTTTAATCTGTCTATTTACAATATATATATATATCTATATATCTCACTCATTGTAATTGTCATCTAGTCCCTCCAAAAGTTTGGGAGAGTTGTATTAGGTGCAATGTATTTTCTTTTACTCTTTTGCTGTTGTTGTTTTGTTTTACATTGGTTTTTAAATATATGTTTGTATGTAGGTTTATGATTTTGTCTCAATATAAAAATTAATTACAGAAGAATTTTATATCTTGTTGCAATTGTCATCTAGTTTCTCCAAGTTTGGGAGAGTTGCATTAGGTGCAATGATTTTTTAGCCTTTTACTGTTTTTTATTGGGTGTTTTTTTGGGGAGGGGAATATGTTTGTATGTAGGTTTTGTTTTAATCTGTCCAAACCAAGCACTATTTGACACGGAATAAACCCTGTAATAGCAAGAGCATGTCGACATGCCTCACGTGGGCATTTTTGACTTCTTGATGTTCTGCAGTTGGAAGTCTCTCTCCAATTATAGCCGATCCACTCCATTAAATGGAGGAAAACCTGACTGGCTTTTACCAGCTATTCATTTTGACGGAGCTGTCCTAGGTTAATTCTTGGTAGGCTGTTATATTATGCTTTTGATATTCATTTTTAAATTAATTTTGGTATAATTTTGTTTGCATATTTTATATGTTCTGTTTGTACGGTTGCAGACTTGCATGCCACCCTGAGTCCCTTTTGGGGATATAGATAAATAAATATTATTGTAATTATTATTATGGCGATTAATTTCGGTCAACTTGTTTTGTTGCCTATTTTATATGCTCTGTCTGGACGGTTGTAGACTTGCATGCCACCCTGAGCCCCTTTGGGGGATATAAATAAATATTATTATTTTTCTTATTATTATGGCGATTAATTTAGGTCTAATTGTTTTGTTGCCTATTTTATATGCTCTGTCTGCACAGTTGTAGCCTTGCATTCCGCCCCGAGTCCCTTTTGGGGATATAGATAACTAAATATTATTATTATTATTATTATTATTATTATTATTATTATTATTTTTGTTGTTATTATTATGGCAATCAATTTAGGTCTAATTATTTTGTTGCCTATTTTATATGCTCTGTCTGCACGGTTGTAGCCTTGCATTCCGTCCCGAGCCCCTTTTGGGGGTTTAAATATTATTATTATTATTATTGTTATTATGAGTAGTGCTATGAAGGCAGCGCGAGGAGACAGGTTTACATGTTCTGTTTGTACGGTTGTAGCCTTGCATTCCGTCCCGAGTCCCTTTTGGGGATTTAAATAGATTGTTATTATTACTACTACTACTACTACTACTACTACATTATTATTATGAAGGCTGTGCGAGGAGAAGGGGGCCAGGCTCCCCTCAGTATCCGCGGTGGTGGGGACGACGACGGCGTCCCCTCCTGGCGCCGGGCGGAGGATCTGCATGGCGCTGCCACCTCCACCGCCGCTGCTGCGCGCCTGGAAGGAAGAGGGAGCTCGAGTCCCGCGCGGCCGCCCTGCGCTCTCTCGCTTGCCTCTCTCCCTCCGCAGAACAAGAAGCAGCAGCAACGGCGGCGGCAGGAGGAGCAGCAGCGCCGCGCACCACAGCCTCGCCGCGAAGGGAAAGGAAGGAAGGAAGGAAGGAGAGAGAAGAAAGAGGGCGCGGAGAGCGCGGTAAGCGGCGCGGGGAGGGGGAGGGGAAAGAAGGAGAGAGGAGCCCAGCAAGGAGAGGCCTAGGCACACAGCGAAGCCTGCCTTGGAGTAATCGAAACGAGGCCTAGGCACACAACGCAGCCCGCTTTAGAGTAATCCAAGAAGCCAAGCAAGGGAAGTCCTAAGCGCCCAACGCAGCCTGCCTTATAGTAATCCAAACGAGGCCTAAGCACACACGCAGCCCGCTTTAGAGTAATCAACACGAGGCCTGCACACAGAATACAGCCTGCCTCGTCGTAATCCACATGAGGCCTAGACACGCAATGAAGCCTGCTTGGGAGTAATCCACCCTGACGGGGTTCTGAAACTGCGGCCTGGGTGGGAAGGCCTGGTGGTGAAGGGCTGAAGGCGGGCTCTGTTGCAGCCTGCTTTAGAGTAATCCGAAAAGCCCAGCAAGGAAAGGCCTAAGCACACACGCAGCCCGCTTTAGAGTAATCAACACGAGGCCTGCACACAGAATACAGCCTGCCTCGTCGTAATCCACATGAGGCCTAGACACACAATGAAGCCTGCTTGGGAGTAATCCACCCTGACGGGGTTTTGGAACTGCGGCCTGGGGCTCGGGGCCTGAAGGGGTGAAGGCGGGCTTTGGGTTGTCTTTCCGCGCCCATAATGGCGGCGGCGGCGTCGGCTGAGGGGAAAAGGAAGGAGGAGGGCGTCGGCGCTTGAGGCGCTGCAGCTACTAATGCTGGTTGGAGTCCGGCGTGAGGGCGGTGGGGACGGTAGAGGGAGACAAAGCCCGCTCCCGCCGCTCGCCCGCCCGCCTTCCTGCCTTCCTCCCCGCCGGAGCCCCATCGTGACACCTAGAGGCCGGAGACGGCGACTGCAAACCCCCCGCGCCGCTCTCTCGCTCGCTCGCTCTCTCTCACCTGCCGCGGAGGCGCCTCCGCCTGGCCGGCCTACGAGCCTGCTGCTGGTGCTGCTGCCGGGGGCCCCGCCCCGCCCGGGCCCCGCCGACGTCCCCCTCTCCGCCGTCCCGCCTCACCCGCCCGCCCGCCAGCGCCCCGCACCAGCTCGCGGTTGAATCGCTCCACAGCCGCCTCGGACACAAAATGGCGGGCCAGCCGGGCCACTGCGCCTGCGCCAGCCCGGCCGAGGGGGGGAGGCGGGGGAAGGGAGCGCCGCGCAAGGCACCATGGGAGGACCAGGAGGGCGCCAACTTCAAATGCAGGCTCGGACAGGAGGGATGGAGGGCGCGCAGCGGAAGTGACGTCACGCCCGTGGCCCCTCACCAGCAGGCCTGTCAAGATCCAGAGCAAGTGATCTCAAACCTGTGGGACCCTCCTTCCCTCCCTCCCTCCCTCCCTCCACAGGTATTTTGGCCTTCCCAGCTGACAAACTGGCTGGGATTTCTGGGAGTTTATTTATCTATTTATTATTTCGAGTATTTTTTATTTATCACTAATCGTCCCCTGCCACGCGCTGCTGTGGCCCACGTGGGGGTTCTGTGTGTGAGGTTTGGCCCAATTCCATCGTTGGTGGGGTTCAGGATGCTCTTTGATTGTAGGCGAACTATAAATCCCAGCAACTACAACTCCCAAATGTCAAGATTCTATTTTCACCAAACTCCACCAGTGTTCACATTTGGGCATATTGAGTATTCTTGTAGAGTTTGGTCCAGATCCATCATTGTTTGAGTCCACAGCGATCTCTGGATGTAGGTGAACTACAACTCCAAAACCAAAGGACACTGCCCACCAAAACCTTCCAGTATTTCCTGTTGGTCATGGGGGTTTTGTGTGGGAGATTTGGGCCAATTCTATCGTTGATGGGGTTCAGAATGCTCTGTGATAGTAGATGAACTATAAATCCCAGCAACTACAACTCCCAAATGTCAAGATTCTATTTTCCCCAAACTCCGCCAGTGTTCACATTTGGGCATATTGAGTATTTGTGTGGAGTTTGGTCCAGATCCATCATTGTTTGAGTCCACAGTGATCTCTGGATGTAGGTGAACTACAACTCCAAAACCAAAAGACACTGCCCTCCAAACCCTTCCAGTATTTTCTGTTGGTTGTGGGAGTTCTGTCTGCCAAGTTAGGTTCAATTCCGTTGTTGGTGGGGTTAAGAATGCTCTTTGTTTGTATAAACCCCAGCAACAACAACTCCCAAATGACAAAATCAATTTTTTGAGTGAAGGACATACATTGGCCTGAGAGGTGTCTTGTGTCCAAATTTGGTGCCAGTTCATCCAGTGGTTTTTGAATTCTGGTAATCCCACAAACGAACATGACATTTTTATTTATATAGATAATAATGCAATATAACAATACGAATATATAATAATATTATAATCTTGTAATATAATAATTCTTATATATGAAATATAATAGGTTTTTTTTTTAGGAAGGACATACATTGGGCTGTTAGGTGTCCAAATTTGGTGTCAGTTCGTCCAGTGGTTTTTGACTTATGTTAATCCCACAAACGAACATTACATTTTTATTTATATAGATTTCGAGTATTTATTTTCGAGCTGGGATTTCTGGGAGTTGTAGACCTCAACACCTGGGCAGGGACCCTCAGGTTGGGAACCTACAGCATCCCAAAAGCTGGATTTGCCACTGCAGTCAATGGGATGTGGAGTTGGAAGAGACCTGGTGAGCCATCATCCAGTCCAACTCCATTCTGCCCAGAAGAAGGGAAATCGCATTCAGAGCACCCCCGACAGATGGCCATCCAGCCTCTGCTTCAAAGCCTCCAAAGAAGGAGCCTCCACCACACTCCAGGGCAGAGAGTTCCACTGCTGAATGGCTCCCACAGTCAGGAAGTTCAGCTCCAGCCCAGCATACCTGTCCGAACGTATCTCCTACATCCCGTCTAGGAATTTAAGATCTTCTGGAGGGGCCCTGCTCTCGGCCCCACCCTTGTCACAAACGAGATTGGCGGGGACGAGGGACAGGGCCTTCTCAGTGGTGGCCCCCCACCTGTGGAATTCACTCCCCGGGGAAATTAGATCATCGTCATCCCTCTCTTTCAGAAGGAAATTAAAAACATGGATATGGGGCCAGGCCTTTGGGTAATCTGGCAGACTGACAATGGACAATGACGACTAAAGCTTTGGAAACGGACTATGACAGTGATGGGCAACCTTTTGAGCTTGGTGTGTCAAAATTTGCCAAAAACCTGAGCATAACTTGGGTGGAGTGTCACGTCAAGAAAAAACCACAATTTTGCAGTATTTATAGTTTAAATAAGAAAAATGTATAATCCATGCTGAGTTATGGAGTGAACAATGCTCAAACGTGCAGATGTTCAATTTGTAGAGCCTTTTACAAATTTAAGGATTGAATTAGATTGGCTCTTATAAGATGTCTTTCTCTGTATGTGGCCACATGTGTCTGCGTGTCATCAAAAATAGCCATGCGTGTCAATGCTGACACGCGTGTCATAGGTTCACCATCATGGGACTATGATAAGCGGAATGAATTTATTAATTACGGATTTGGCAAAACGATGGCCACCAGGCTGGCTTTTTATCGTATTTTTATTGTATTAATGTAATGTTTTAACTGTTATGATTTACTGTTACTATGTATTTTGTTGTGTGAATTGTAGGCATCAACGTATGCCGCTTGGAAGCCGCCCTGAGTCCCCCTTCTAAGGTTGAGAAGGGCGGGGTAGAAATACCTTAAATAAATAAATAAATTCCTCCTCATGTTCAGATGGAATCTCCTTTCCTGTAGTTTGAAGCCATTGTAGTCCATGCTCTAGTTCCATCCCGTATAGACTACTGCAACGCTCTCTACGTGGGGTTGCCTTTGAAGACGGTCTGGAAGCTTCAACTAGTCCAACAAACGGCAGCCGGGTTGTTAACAGGAGCGGCTCTCAGGGAGCATACAACCCCCTTGTTGCGCCAGCTCCACTGGCTGCCAGTTTGCTACCGGGCCCAATTCAAAGTGCTGGCTTTGGCCTAGAAAGCCCTAAACCAGGGGTCCCCAAACCTTTTGAACAGAGGGCCGGGTCACAGACCCTCAAACTGTTGGAGGGCCGGATTATAATTTGAAAAATCAAAAACATGAATGAATTCCTATCCACACCTCACATATCTGATTTGTAGTGCAAAAAACACTTTAAATAATACAATAATTAAAATGAAGAACTATTTTAACAAATATAAACTTAGCAGTTTAGAATAAATGTAAACCTAGCAGTTTGAAAACATGCAAATGTGAGTAGATCAATAGATACCGCTCCGGTAGGAAGGTAGCAGCGCTCCATGCAGTCATGCCGGCCACATGACCTTGGAGGTGTCTATGGACAACACCGGCTCTTCGGCTTAGAAATGGAGATGAGCAGCAGAGTCCCAGTCGGACATGACTGGATTTAAGGCCTCCTCCGCCTTCTCCTGCCTCCGGGATGCGGCGAGGCGGCATCCCGAAGGGAGGAGAGGCTGGGCCCACGGAGGCGGCGGGCCAAGCAGGCCCAAGCCGCTTGGCCCGCCCCCACTTCACCCGGCGCCTCCCTCCCCCTGCGCCCGCCTCTCACCCTTCTCCACAGCCCACGGGCCGGATAGATGCCCTCGGGGGGCCGGATCTGGCCCGCGGGCCGTAGTTTGGGGACCCCTGTTCTAAAGGGCTGGGCGGTTTCGTTTCGTTACTTCGTTTAAAATTCGTTATTTTTATATAACGAAGCGATAACGAACCATTCTGGAGCAACTTAAAAACGAAACGAATTTTTAAATTCGTTTCGTAAATGCTTCGGATTCGTTATGTATTCGTTTCGTTATTGGTTTGAGGTCGTTTCGTTATTATTTCCGCATGTCTGGGGCAAGTTTTATAGTTGTTTTTGTTTAATTAGTGAAAAAAAATTATAATATCACACCAACAGTCAACAACAGAGGGAGAGGGAAGCTTCAGAAGTTCCCCCTGTCCCATTTGGAGGTTTTTTAGCGTATTGCGCGGTCGCGTCCGCCATTAACGAATCGATTCGTTATTGTTTCGTATTTGTTTCGTTAATGTTTCGTATTTTTTTTTACATTTACGAAATGTCGTAAATATCGAACTTTTTAAAAGAAAAAAATCGGAATTCTTTTAAATATCGAAACGCAAAACCCCCCAAAAAACGAATCGATTTTAGAAACAAATTTTTCCGTTGTTACCCAGGCCTACTGTTCTATATCATGATACTTAAAAGCAATCTTTTTCCCATGCTTTTTCCTGTACTGCAGAGAATACAAGGCACTGCACTTGTGAACCTCCCAAAGGCCCTTCCTTTGCTGTACACTATTGGGCTTCACTCATAACACCTCGCTTCCTACTTGGTGAAGGATGTACAAAACAACACACATTATTTGCTCAAACTTTTTTTTTTAATTTCAGGCTTAAAATCAAAATTAGCCAAAACCTCTTGATAATTACATTATATATATTTATATATATATATGTAGATATACAGATAAATTTATAGGTATTTTATAGAAAAGGGGCGTTTTGCTTGGTCTACAACCTCCCCATCCCCTTCTCTCGCAAATTGTGTAAATAAAAAACAATAAAACAGCTGAAGAGAGGCGGCTCTTTCCGCCCCTCCGCGTCACGCCCGCCATTGAAAATGACCCCTTCCTCAGCCCAACGGGACGGGGAGAACTTCTGGAAGTCTTTGTGCTCGCTTTGGCTCCCAAACAACAGAGCTACTTGTGTTATATAGGAGAATATACCTTGGACCCCGTTTCCTGCCATGTGCATAGGCCTCAGGAAGGCAGAAGTGGGTCAGAAGTGGGATTTCGAACATACAACCAGGGTTTTCCCAAGTGTCCACTCAAATGGGAGACGGCCTTTGCAACCCAGGGAGTTCTGCTACCGCTTTTGTGCTCAATTGTTGTCACCTTCTTCCTTCTTGTGTTAGTTCTGGCTGATGAAAGGCAAGAAGCCCACGCTCTTGAGACCGCCCTTGTGCCCACGTCAACTCCATGAGCGCAGCTAGGAAAAAGGCACCCTCTGTGTAAGGCCGTAGTGTGTCAGTGGTGCTAATACTGCGGGGTGTGCATGCGTGGAGAGGCAAAAGCTTCCCAGTCCGTGGCACGCTGATTTGAACCCAGTTTGCATGAGCGAGTGGAAAGATCTCTGGCATGTCGCGTTTGCGCCCCCAAAGGATCGATCTGCGGGCGGAGGGACGCGGCACCCTTGTTCAGAATGCGGTGCTCGCCATGCTTCCCGGGGCAAAGATCCGGGGCAAACTGTCGAGGGACTCTTCCAGCCGTCGGTGAGCAGATTTCCCGTCTTCCCCTGCAAGCACAAACACCAATTTAGCTGCCAATAACAATCCTGTTTGCCACAACAGTGCGTGCAAGGCCACAAAGGTTAGGCCACACAAATGTATACTGGCGACACACAGTAGCGCAAAATGGGAGGGAAAACAGGCTGCCCAACAAAACAAAAAAATTCTTGATGTGCTGTTGAAGGTTTTCATGGCTATGTTCTAGAAGCATTCTCTCCTGACATTTTGCCCGCATCTACGGCAGGCATAGGAAACTAGGCAAGTTAAGTTTATATATTTGTGGAATGCCCAGGGTGGGAGAAAGAAAGAACCAAGGCAATTAAAATGGATTGAAGCAGCCAGGCTTTGAAGCTGCAAGGCCATTGAATGCTAATCAAGGTGGCCCATTGCAACAGTCATGCCTCAAGCAGACAAGACTTCTCTCTCCCACCCTGGACATCATTCTACAGATATATAAACCTCACTGGCCTAATTTCCAGCAGACCTCACAACCTCTGAGGATGCCTGCCATAGACGTGGGTGAAACGGCAGGAGAGAAGGTTTCTGCAACATGGCCATACAGCCCGAAAAACTCACTGCAACCCAAAGTCTTGGTAGTTAGGCCTGTTCCTGATCTGATTTGGGGCGCTGGTTCAGAAAATTGCATTGCATACACCACATCAGCTTTAGTATCTTAGATATGATATGATAATCATGGTTTTCTATGGGTGAGCACATGATAATTGGTAATTGCATATGCTCTGTGTTTCAATAACAATAGAGTAAAATAATAAATATAATAATAACAATTTTTTTTGTCAAGTCAGGCGCAACTTGAGAAACTGCAAGTCACTTCTGGTGTGAGAGAATTGGCCGTCTACAAGGACGTTGCTCTGGGGACGCCCGGATGATTTGATGTTTTTATCATCCTTGTGGGAGGCTTCTCTCATGTCCCCGCAAGCTGCAGCTGATAGAGGGAGCTCATCCGCCTCTCCCCGGATTCAAACCCGTGACCTGTCGGTCTTCAGTCCTGCCGGCACAGGAGGGGTTTAACCCACTGCGCCACCGGCGGCTCCTTTAATAACAATAATAAATAGAGTAAAATAAATGTAATAGTAATCATGTAAAATAATAAATGTAATAAGAATAATAGTAGGGTAAAATAATAAATGTAATAATAAAATAATAGAGTAAAAGAAATGAAAAAGTAATAATGTGAAATAATAAATGTAATAATAAAAATAATAGAATAAAATAATGTATATGTAATAAGAATAAGAATAAAATAATAAATGTAATAATAATAATAATAATAAAGCCAGCATAGTGATCTTGTTTGCTGTATACTAATCTTGTTGTGTTTCAAATAATAATAATAATAATAATAATAATTATTATTATTATTATTAATAATAATAGTAATGCTGACATGATATGAGGATTTAAATATTCGAACTGCAAAGACTCTGGCACAAACCAGTCAAGGTGGTCCCAGTGGTGATTGGCACTCTGAGTGCAGTGCCTCAAGACCTTGGCCTGCACTTAAACAAAATTGATGCTGACAAAATCACCACCTGTCAGCTGAGAGGCGGATGAGCTCCCTCTATCAGCTCCAGCTCCTCATGCGGGGACATGAGAGAAGCCTCCCACAAGGATGATAAAAACATTAAAAATCATCCGGGTGTCCCCTGGGCAACGTCCTTGCAGACGGCCAATTCTCTCACAACAGGAGCAACTCCTGACACGACAAAAAAAAAAAAAAAAAAGCTGCAGAAAACCACCCTACTGGGATCTGCACACATTATTTGCTGATACATCACACAATCCTAAGCACTTGGGAAATGTCCCACGTGTGATCCAATACAACAGCCAGCAGAGTGATCTTGTCTGCTGTGGACTCATCTTGTTGTGTTTCAAATAGTAATAATAATAATAAGGCTTGGGAAGTGTTCGACTTGTGATTTTGTGATACGAAATCCAGCATATAGATCTTGTTTGCTGTGACATACTGTTTTTGTGTCAGCAAAATAATAATAATAATACTAATACCAGAGTAAAATAATAACTTTGACTCGAGTATATGCCAAGGGAGGCTTTTAAAATAAAGATTTATTAATGACTTATTATGATCTTCTGGGGGGGCCCTGCTCTCGGTCCCACCGCCTTCGCAATCGCGTTTGGTGGGGACGAGGGACAGGGCCTATCGGTGGTGGCCCCTCGGCTCTGGAACTCTCTCCCAATGGAGATCAGATCTGCCCCTTCCCTCCTGACTTTCAGAAAGGTTGTTAAGATCTTCTGGAGGGGCCCTGCTCTCGGTCCCACCACCCTCGCAATCGCGTCTGGTGGGGACAAGGGACAGGGCCTTCTCGGTGGTGGCCCCTCGGCTCTGGAACTCCCTCCCGATGGAGATTAGATCTGCCCCTTCCCTCCTGACTTTCAGAAAGGTTGTTAAGATCTTCTGGAGGGGCCCTGCTCTCGGTCCCACCATCCTCGCAATCGCATCCGGTGGGGACGAGGGACACGGCCTTCTCGGTGGTGGCCCCTCGGCTCTGGAACTCTCTCCCGCTGGAGATTAGATCTGCCCCTTCCCTCCTGACTTTCAGAAAGGTTGTTAAGATCTTCTGGAGGGGCCCTGCTCTCGGTCCCACCGCCTTCGCAATCGCGTTTGGTGGGGACGAGGGACAGGGCCTTCTCGGTGGTGGCCCCTCGGCTCTGGAACTCCCTCCCGATGGAGATTAGATCTGCCCCTTCCCTCCTGACGTTTAGAAAGCAGGTAAAAACATGGCTTTGGGATACTGCATTCGCAGAGTGATGATGGAGTCAATAACTACTGACCTTTCTGGCGGATGGCGATGAATTTGTGATTCTTTTGGACGAACTGATTTTGGCTGTAATTTGTATGAATTGTATGAAGTGTATTTTAATGTATTTTATATTGATGACCTATAATGTTTTTCTTATTGTATTAAAAAGAAGTGTATTTTAATGTATTTTATATTGATGACCTATAATGTTTTTCTTATTGTATTGAATTTTATGTTGTGAGCCGGCCTGAGTCCCTCCCCGGAGGTGAGAAATATAAAAACTATCTCTCTCTCTCTTTATCTATCGATCTATCTCTATCTTTCTATCTCTCTCTCTCTCTCTATCACTATCTCTCTCTCTCTCAATCAATCAATCAATCAATCAATAATTGATGTTGTTATGATTTTGTTAATGTTTTGAACTGTATTTATGTTTTGTGGCATTGAATTTTGCCTTGTAAACTGCCTTGAGTCGCCTGAGGGCTGAGAAGGGCAGTATACAAATATAGTAAATAATAAATAAATAAAAATAAAAAGGGGTGAAAAACTCTTCTTATACTCAGCTATATGTGGTATTTGTCGATAATCAAGACGTCTACATGGACTAGCACGGCTAACCTTGATTTGGTGTATGCGTACCTTGAGATCAGAAAGGTCCCTGAAACACTCCATAACAAGATTTAAGAAATGTGTAGTTTCAATTTCTGTGCCTTCGCGGCCAAAGACTGGGTGGGAGTTGCGGGGTCAAGAGGGTCTCCGTGGGTCAGAAGAGGCAACACTGAGCGACATGGACAGATAGTGTGGCTGCAGAGAAGGCCATTTCGTATGTGACCCCATATCACAGCCCCTCGAACAGGAGTGCCGTTCCCTTTGTGACGCTGACACAGACGAGGAGGACACAAGCGCACAAGGAGGAGGAGGAGGAGGAGGACTCCAATATGTCAGGGAGTGGCCACCATTGAGACAAAGACCCCAGAAGAGGAATGCAACCAGGGTCCAAGGCACAAGAAGAAAAGACTGGGAGGGCATGCAGTGGGGCAGTGGGGAGGAGGGAAACAGGCAGGCCAGCAGATCCCAACCTGTCCGGCTGCTCCCATGACCTGAAGTCTAGTTGGCCAATCAGATGGTTCTTTCAGGGCCATCTAACAAAGGACAATAAACGACAATGAGGGCTTCACACTTCCCATGCTTGAGCTTGTGGGCCAGGTAAGCAGCAATGCAAAGGAACTGGTGCCTTGGGCTCCCTTCGCTCGGGGTTACCAGCAGAGGCCAAGCAATGGGCAGTACGGTCAGTCAGAGCTCAGGACTTTCTACACCTGAGAAAAATGTCAAGCTACGAGGGTTGAATGAAAAGTAATGCCTCCACCTTCGTAACTCCTCAACAGGTGGTAGTACTGGTATGTGGCAGGTACTGGCTTCTTCAATAGACTCTCCTCTACAGTTCCATTTTGGTGGGAAGCCTTAGCATTGAGATGGCTGTTGTTAAAGTGCAAAGTATGGAAACCTGCACAGACACTCAGTCAATGTGACTTAAGCAACATATGCAACAGGTACTGGCTTGTTCAGTAGACTCTCCTCTACAGTTCCATTTGGGCGAGAAGCCTTAGCAATGCACGGTTGTGTTGTTAAAGTGCAAAGAATGGAACCTGCACAGAGGGTCAGTCAATGTGACTTAAGCAACATATGCGGCAGGTACTGGCTTGTTCAGTAGACTCTTCTCTACAGTTCCATTTTGGCAGGAAGCCTTAGCATTGAACAGTTGTGTTGTTAAAGTGCAAAGTATGGAACCCTGCGCAGACTGTCAGTCAATGTGACTTAAGCAACATATGTGACAGGTACTGGCTTGTTCAGTAGACTCTCCTCTACAGTTCCATTTTGCGGGAAGCCTTAGCATTGAATGGTTGTGTTGTTAAAGTGCAAAGTATGGAACCCTGCACAGACGGTCAGTCAATGCGACTTAAGCAGTGTGCAGTCATTCTTTAAACTTACTCGCCCAACGATGCACAGTACTCACATCAACACAATCACCATAAACAGATTGCATTCTCTGATGAATCTCCTTTGGGGTGACACCTTCTGCTGTCAAGAATTCAATGACTGCACGTTGCTTAAGTTGCATTGACCGACTGTCTGCGCAGGATTCCATACTTTGCACTTTAACAACACAACCGTTCAATGCTAAGGCTTCCCACCAAAATGGAACTGTAGAGGAGAGTCTACTGAACAAGTCAGTACATGTCGCATATGTTGCTTAAGTCGCATTGACCGACCGTTTGTGCAGGGCTTCCATACTTTGCACTTTAACAACACAACCGTTCAATGCTAAGGCTTCCCACCAAAATGGAACTGTAGAGGAGAGTCTACTGAACAAGCCAGTACCTGCCGCATACCAGTACTGGCATCTGTTGAGTGACGAAGGTGGAGGCAAAAAGGTAAAAAGAACCCCGGTGGCGCAGTGGGTTAAACCCTTGTGTCGGCAGGACTGAAGAGCAACAGGTCACAAGTTCGAATCCAGGGAGAGGCGGATGAGCTCCCTCTATCAGCTCCAGCTCCTCACGCAAAGGGGACATGAAAGAAGCCTCCCACAAGGATGATAAAAACATCACTTCATCTGGGCGTCCTCTGGGCAACGTCCTTGCAGACGGCCAATTCTCTCACACCAGAAGTGACTTGCAGTTTCTCAAAAAACAACAACTTTTCATTCAACCCTCGTAGTCCAAGGATGGGCAGACTTTGGCCCTCCAGACGTTTTGGGTTTCAGCTCCTATAACTCCTAACAGGATGAAGTCCAAAACACCGGAGGGCCGCAGTTTGCCCATGCCTGAAGCTTGGCCTGGACATCTGGATCAAGGGGTCCACTCCTCAAAAGACACGGAGGGAAAGGAGCAAAGACTTACCACACAGCATGAGACTGTGCTTGGCTGCCTCTCGCACGGCCTCTTTGTCCGTTTGGCACAGGTACACCAGCTGCTCAATACCCTCCTTGGCCTTGTTTTGGGTGAGAAAGGTACAAAGAAGCTTGCGTTATCAACGTATAGTTTCACAAAACCCCCCTCAAACTATGACAAAGGTAGAAGCTCAAGGCTAAAAGGCAAAGGGAAGGTCTTGTAGGAGGAGAACATGGCTGGCATCCCGTAATTTTATCCCAACCAAAATGGACCTAATGAACTAATTGTCAAATGTGAGTCAATGCAATGGAATAGGTACCATATACACTTGTGTATAAATAGAGTTTTGACAAAAAGCCCACCCACACACCAAAACCTGGGTCAATTTATGTCAGAAATATTAAATATCAATGAGATATTTTTAATTACAAAATGTGAGTCAAGAACTGAAAGGGTTAATTGGATGCTGCAACTATGCCGTATGAGAAGGCCTCAGTGTTAGTTCGCCTCAGTGTGAGAGAGGTGTCAATCTGAGAGAGGCCTCAGTGGGAGGAAGGCCTCAGTGTTAGTAGGCCTCAGTATGAGAAGGCCTGGTGTGAGAAGCTTCGGTGAGAGTGGATGCCGCGACTAAGCAGTATGAGAAGGCCTCAGAATTTGTTCGCCTCAATGTGAGAAAGGTGTCAATCTGAGAGCGCCCTCAGTGTGAGAAAGGCCTCAGTGTTAGTAAGCCTCAGCATGAGAAGGCCTGGTGAGAGGAAGTCCCAGGTTGAAGGCCATTGTGTGTGAAGCTCCAATGTGAACGTTGCCGTGTGTAAAAAGCTACTGTGTGAAACTTCTGTGTAAATTCGTTTTGAGAAGAGGCTTTGTCCAACCAGAATGGACCTGATGAACCAATTGTCAAATGTGAGTCAACACAATGGAATAGGTACCATATACATTTGTGTATAAATAGATTATTGACAAAAAGCATACTCGCACACCAAAACCTGGGTCAATTTATGTGAGAAATATTAAATATTAACTAGGTATTTTTAATTATAAAAATGTGAGTCAAGAACTGAAAGGGTTAAATGGATTCCGCGACAGCAGTATGAGAAGGCCTCAGTGTGAGAGAGGTGTCAATCTGAGAGCCCTCAGTGTGAGAAGGCCTCAGTGGGAGAAAGGCCTCAGTGTTAGTAGGCCTCAGTGTGAGATGGTCTGGTGAGAGGAAGTCCCAGTTTGAAGGCCATCGTGTGTGAAGCTCCAGTGTGAAGGCTGCTGTGTGTAAAAAGATACTGTGTGAAACTTCTGTGTAAGTTCGTTTTGAGAAGAGGCTTTGTCCAACCAGAATGGACCTGATGAGCCAATTGTCAAATGTGAGTCAACGCAATGGAATAGGTACCATATACACTTGCTTATAAATAGATTTTTGACAAAAAGCCCACCCACACACCAAAACCTGGGTCGATTTATGTCAGAAATATTAAATATTAACTAGGTATTTTTAATTATAAAAATGTGAGTCAAGAACTGAAAAGGTTAAATGGATGCCGCCACAGCATTATGAGACGGCTTCAGTGTTAGTTTGCCTCAGTGTGAGAGGTGTAAATCTGAGAGAGCCTACAGTGTGAGAAGGCCTGAGTGGGAGAAAGGCCTCAGTGTTAGTAGGCCTCAGTATGAGAAGGCCTGGTGAGAGGAAGCCCCAGTTTGAAGGCCATCGTGTGTGAAGCTCCGGTGTGAAGGCTGCTGTGTGAAACTTCTGTGTAAGTTCATTTTGAGAAGAGGCTCTGTCCAACCAGAATGGACATGATGAACCAACTGTTAAATGTGAGTCAACACAATGGAATAGGTACCATATACACTTGTTTATAAATAGATTTTTGACAAAATGTGAGTCAAGAACTGGAAGGGGTAAATGGATGCTGAGACAGCAGTATGAGAAGGCCTCAGTGTGAGAGAGGTGTCAATCTGAGAGAGCCCTCAGTATGAGAAGGCCTCAGTGACAAAAAGCCCACCCACACACCAAAACCTGGATCAGTTTACACACAGGTCAATGTATGAAGCCAGTAGCAAGAGGTAGGGTGAGAAGGACTTCCACACCATTAATTTTGCCCATAAGTTAATGCAAAATCCATAATTTTGGCCTCAAAGTTTGCCTTCAACTTATATGTAACTGACTTATAGACAAGTAAATACGATGCATCCAATGAATGCAATGAGTCTGTTGCAGTTGTAATTAATGGCCGGATTCAGACCGATGTCTGCACCTAGGTATTTTCTTGCATGCAACAAATCTTTTAGTCACAGAGGCATTTCTGGGAAACGGAAGTGCCAGTAATAGTGCAAAAGCCACTTTGGAAAAGAGTTTAAATTCATGGTTTCCCAAAGAATGGAGGCCTTACCTTCAGGCAGCCCAAGGCCGCGCAGGCAGCAATCCGCGCCTGCACCTCTTCGTCCTCCAGCTGCTCCAGGTAGCAAAGCAGGGCCTGCGGGAGAGGGATCGGTCAGCCTGAGTCAGCCCAGCATGAGGCTCCTCCATATGAGGGTCTGGAGAACAAGCCCTATGAGGAGCGGCTTAAGGAGCTGGGCATGTTTAGCCTGAAGAAGAGAAGGCTGAGAGGAGGCATGATGAGGGCCATGGATAAATATGTGAGAGGAATATCACAGGGAGAAGGAGGGAGCAAGCTTGTTTACTGCTTCCCTGGAGACTAGGACGCAATGGAACAAGGGCTTAAAACTGCAAGAGAGGAGATTCCATCTGAACATGAGGAAGAACTTCCTGACTGTGAGAGCCGTTCAGCAGTGGAACTCTCTGCCCCGGAGGGAGTGTGGTGGAGGCTCCTTCTTTGGAAGCTTTGAAACAGAGGCTGGATGGCCATCTGTCAGGGGTGATTTGAATGCAGTATTCCTGCTTCTTGGCAGAATGGGGTTGGACTAGATGATGGCCCATGGGGTCTCTTCCAACTCTTTGATTCTAGGATTCTATGATTCTATGACAGAATCCCCAGGTGGCTTTGGGGGAAGCCAAGGAAAGGAAGAGCTGTCCCAAACTCTGAGAGACTGTACACTGAGCGGTGACTCAAAGCACAACAACGGAAGTTTACAGTTGCACTCCCCACCCCATAAAATCTGGCAGGCCTACACTGTTCCCCTAAATTACTTAGGCGATCCCTCGTTGTCCGAGTAGGATTGTCTTCCAAGATCGGTGTCCTGGCGGTGAGTCTGTAGGTGGGTGTGGAGCCCTATTCTTGACCTGCATCTTCTTCCGCAGTGAGGGCGTCGGTTTCCAGGTGGAAGGCAGTCCCGGTTGGGGTTCCTCTTGGCACATTTCTCTCTTTCACCCTCCATTCGTGCCTCTTCAAATTCTGCAGCACTGCTGGTCACAGCTGACCTCCAGCTGGAGCACTTCCCAGTTCTCAATGTCTATGCCAGAGTTTTTAAGGTTTATTTATTTACAGTATTTATATTCCGCCCTTCTCCTCACCCCGCAGGGGACTCAGGGCGGATTACAACATACACATATATGGAAAACATTCAATGCCAAAGTCACACAACAGATACAGACAGACAGTCAGAGGCTATTTAACATTCCAGCTTTTGATGAGAGTATTCTGGCCACTAGGGGAGCTGTCGCTTCACCTTCCATTAGTGACAATGATGGAGTACTTCCTTATTTGCATGCTTGCAAAGTCTTTATTATTTATTTATTTGCAGTATTTATATTCCGCCCTTCTCATGACCCCGTAGGGGACTCAGGGCGGATTACAATGTACATATACATGGCAAACATTCAATGCCAAAGACACACAACAGATATAGACAGACAGACAGAGGCTATTTAACTTTTCTGGCCACCAGGGGAGCTGTCGCTTTCATCATCCATCTGTGACACTGATGAAGTACTTCCGCCTTCCCCGCATGCTTTTGCTGGAGTGCTTTGCTGGAGTCTTTTTTATGGCCTCGTAAATTAGTTAAATTAGCCTCCCCACACATAGGTGGTACCTAATTTTCCTACCTGACAGATGCAGCTGTCTTTCGGGTTGCAAAGGTCGACAACAAGCTAGACAATTGGTCGGAAGCTCACTCCGACCCAGGCTGGCTTCAAACTCATGACCTTTTGGTCAGTAGTGATCTTAATGCAGCTGACATCCAGCCAGCTGTGCCACAGTCCCGGTGGACTTTGAGCCCACCTTTCAATGTCTTTTCCTGCTCACCAACATTCCGCTTTCTGTTCTTGAGTTCAGAGTAGAGCAACTGCTTTGGGAGACGGTGGTTGGGCATCCGGACAACATGGCCGGTCCAGTCCTATTTATCCCTAAAGAAAACCTATCCAGAAAATAAGCTCTGGCTTGATTTTTCAGGATGCTCATAATATTGGATACTCACTGGTCACATAACCAAATGGAGGATTAGGACCTGCTAGGATTGAATGAGTCCTGGATATATGTTTGTAAATGCTATGCGTGACTGCAGGTCCCATCTGAAAAGCACACGCAGCCACAGGTGTCGTTGCAGAAGGCAGGCACCACAGCCAGAAGAATGATGCCCACGCTTAAACTCCCTAAACTGTCACACGGCAGCCTTGCGCTTTCACTTGCAACAAAGAGAAAAGCCGGTGCCGGCTAGGGCGCATCTCAGCCAGAGCCAGGCACACCAGAAGGAGAGATGGACAGCCCAGGAGAGTCCAGTTTTTTTGCACCGGTTTGATTGCCTAGTCATACAGAACCAATCGAAATGTAACAACAACAACAACAACGCACCAGGACTGTGTCTCAGCTGGCTGGGAGTCAGCTGCATTAAGATCACTACTGACCAAAACGTCATGAGTTCGAAGCCAGCCTGGATCGGAGTGAGCTCCCGACCAAAGTCGTGTAGCTTGTTGGTGACATTTGCAGCCCAAAAGACAGTTGCACCTGTCAAGTAGGAAATTTAGGTACCACTTATGTGGGGAGGCTAATTTAACTGATTTACGGGGCCACAAAAATCTCCAGGAAGTATGCAAAGAATGAGGAAGTACTTCATCAGTGTCAGAAATGGATGGTGAAACAACAGCTCCCCTGGTGGCCAGAAGCTGGAATGTTAAATAGCCTCTGAGTGTCTGTCTATATATGTTGTGTGTCTATGGCATTGAATGTTTGCCATGTATATGTACATTGTAATCCGCCCTGAGTCCCCTGAGGGGAGAGAAGGGCGGAATATAAATACTGTGAATAAATAAATAAATGAATACTCTGGCACAAGCCAGTCAAGGTGGTCCCAGTGGTGATTGGCATACTGGGTGCAGTGCCTAAAGACCTTGGCCTGCACTTAAGCACAATCGGCGCTGACAAAATTACTACCTGCCAGCTGCAAAGGGCCACCTTACTGGGATCTGCACATATTATTCACCAATACATCACACAGTCCTACACATTTGTGCCAAATTATTATTATTATTATTATTATTATTATTATTATTATTATTATGACACAAAAACACAGTATGTCACAGCAAACGAGATCTATATGCTGGATTTCGTAACACAAAATCACAAGTCGAACACTTCCCAAGCGTCTAGGACTGTGTGATTTATTATTATTATTATTATTATTATTATTATTATTATTATTATTATTATACTGACACAAAAAATTTACATTCCTGCTGACCGCAAGCCTCCTTTGTTTACTACTCTGAACTGAAGAGTCTCCTTTTGTTTTGTTAATAGACATTAAACACCTTACTTTAACTCCTACAGTGCCGTTTGTGTTGCTGACTGGTCTGGGTCTTGACACCAAGGCACTCTCAGAACTTTCCTCCACAGTTCAAAAGCATTGATCTTCCTTCCTAACTAGTATTATTGACATAATATTGTGACGATGTATCAGAAGAAGATGTGAATAAATCTAGATTGCAGCACATGAAAAACAAGCCACCCTCTGCAAAGAAGCTCTAATGCACCTTTTGGAGCAGAAATTAATATTTTTGGGGAAATATGGGGTGAGGGTACTGACCCGCTCCCGGAAGCCAGGGTTCTCCGACAGGCTCCGCAGCTGTGCCGACACGGCCCCAACGACTTTGCTGTTTCCTTCGACGAGGAGCAAACTCAAAGCCTTCAGCCCATCTTTGCGGAGCCTGCTCTCCGGGACACGCTTCAGGGCTTTCAAGACCACGTCTTGGTCGTCCGAGTTCAGGTTCTGTGCCAGCAAAACTGGAGAGGGGGGTGGGAGAGGGAGAAAAAACTACTCTTAACAAGGTGAAGGTTTCTCCATACACCACTTTTAGTCTGGGAAAGAGGAGGATTCCAACTGGGGAAAGCCCAACAAGTGCTGTTGGGTTGCTACTCCCATTACCCCCAGTCTACAGAGTGGATAATCCAAAGGGATGGGAGTTGTCCTTCAATAACATCTGGGGACCCAAATAGGGCAAAAGCTAAAGAGCACCAATGACTAATACATATATAGTTGTCCCTCTGTATCCATGCATTCTCCCTCCATGGTTCGACGGTCCTTTGAAGGCAACCATGAAGCTACCCCTCTATTCTGCTTTGGTTAGACCACTTTACCTGGAATCACATTGTGTCCAATTCTGGGCACCACAATTCAAGAGAGAGATTGACTCTAAGCTGGATGTGTCCAGAGGAGGGCGACTCAAATGATCAAGGGTCTGGAGAACAAGCCCTATGAGGAGCGGCTTAAGGAGCTGGGCATGTTTAGCCTGAAGAACAGAAGGCTGAGAGGAGACATGATGAGCCATGTATAAATATGTGAGAGGAAGCCACAGGGAGGAGGGAGCAAGCTTGTTTTCTGCTTCCTTGGAGACTAGGACAAATGGAACAATGGCTTCAAACTACAAGAGAGGAGATTCCATCTGAACATGAGGAAGAACTTCCTGACTGTGAGAGCCGTTCAGCAGTGGAACTCTCTGCCCCAGGAGTGTGGTGGAGGCTCCTTCTTTGGAAGCTTTTAAACAGAGGCTGGATGGCCATCTGTCAGGGGTGATTTGAATGCAATATTCCTGCTTCTTGGCAGAATGGGGTTGGACTGGATGATGGCCCAGGAGTTGGTCTCTTCCCACTCTTTGATTCTATGATGTGACCCCCCACCCTCTTCCTGTGTTGTGTGTAAGCTCTCCCTGTGATACCTTCTTCTGCCAATTCCAGAACGTATGCGTCCAGCGTCAAGACGGGCAGGACCTCAAAGTGGCTCCAATACTGGAAGAGGGTGACTTGCTCCGCTTGGCAGCTCCCCTGGCGCCTGGGCAAACGGCGCTGCAGGAGCTCCTCCACCAGCTTCACGCAGACTGTGTGGGGAAGCAGAGAGAGAGAGAGCGCATATTACGCTGGCTTCCAAACACTTCCAAATATATGAGCCGACTGTACTAGTCAAAGGCTATGACAAATACATTAAAGCTATACCAAAGTGTACAAGGCATAGAAAACATAGTAAGCAAGGTATTACAAGCAGTAACCGATGGATGGTTCAGGCAGTAATATACGAGGGTTGAATGAAAAGTAATGCCTCCACCTTCGTAACTCCTCAAGAGATGGCTATGCGGCAGGTACTGGCTTGTTCAGTAGACTCTCCTCTACAGTTCTGTTTTGATGGGAAGCCTTAGCATTGAACGGTTGAGTTGTTAAAGTGCAAAGTATGGAACCCTGCGCAGATGGTCGGTCAATGCAACTTAAGCAACATGTAGTCATTGAATTCTTGACAGCAAAAGGTGTCACCCCAAAAATAATGAAAAGTAATGCCTCCACCTTCGTAACTCCTCAAGTGATTGCAGTAGTGGTATGCGGCAGGTACTGGCTTGTTCAGTAGACTCTCCTCTACAGTTCCATTTTGACAGCAAGCCTTAGCATTCAACGGTTGTGTTGTTGAAGTGTGACGTATGGAACCCAGCGCAGACGGTTGTCAATGTGACTTAAGCAACGTACCGTCATTGAATTCTTGACAGCACCTCACCATCTTTAAACTTTCTCGCCCAATGACACACAGTACTCACATCAACACAACCACCACACACAGCTTGCATTCTCTGATGAATCTCTGCATGTTGCTTAAGTCGCATTGACCAACTGCCTTTAACACGCGTGGCGGGTGCAGCTAGTCTAGTGAAATAGACACAACGATAAAACGGAGCGGGTCCTTCTCTGAGCGCAAAGGACATACCTGGGTCTGCCAGTCCTTGCTGGTGTTCGTTGATGCGTGCCCCGTACTGCGAACTGAGCATCTGCAGGAGCCTTTCTACCTGGCAGGTGTACACGTTCGGGGCGGTGACGCAGCCGTCCCAGAAAGACAGCACTCCCTCTTTCCACGTGGAGAACTGGACCACTGGGAAGAGAGGACACAAGAGGTCAAGTGACCCTGCTGACCTCCTCTGGACCTTTCCCCACGAGGATTCCACGGGTGACGGACCCCTGGCTGCCTCGGTCCCTACCTTCTGCGCAAGAGGCGGCGGGCCAGGCCTGCTCCTCCACCAGCCGACACACCGCTTCCAGGACGGGCACTTCCCTCCCCAGCCGGTCCAGCGCATGCGCCTCCCTGCAGCGGAGGGGTCCAAAGTTGCCCAGCTTCTGGATCATAGAATCAAAGAGTTGGAAGAGACCTCATGGGCCATCCAGTCCAACCCCATTCTGCCAAGAAGCAGGAACATTGCATTCAAATCACCCCTGACAGATGGAAGTCAGAGGAACACGGCAAAGGTCCTTAAGCATGGGGTCTGGCACATGACACATCGTGTGAGGCACAGCATTGGAAAACTCAGGTGGCTCCAGAAGAGCCGGCTACTCCAATGGTCAAGACAGCAGAGCAGTCGGGATAGGAAGCAAAGGGATAGGAACTTCACCCAGGAGGGGAAGCACGCTTGGAATACAACCCACACTGCCCAAGTCCCAAGTCCTCAATGAGGAACAGTTTAGTTAGCTTAGGATTGGCCAGGGGTCTTCAAATTTTTCAAAACAGAGGGCCAGGCCACAGTCCCTCAAACTGTTGGAGGGCAGGTTTTTAAATTGGAAAGAAACATGAATGAATTCCTATGAACATGGCACATCTCTTATTTGTAGTGCAAAAAAAAAAGACAAAACAATAATTCAAATAAAGAACAATTTTAACAAATATAAACTTAGTATTTCAATGGGAAGTGTGGGACTGCTTTTTGATTGATGAGATAGGGTTGTTGTTGAAAGAAAGAGAGAGAGAAATAGGGAGGGAGGGAAAGAAAGAAGGGAAGAGAGAAGGATGGAAAGAAAGAGGTAGAGAAGGAAGAAAGGAGAGGAGGGAAGAAAGAAAAGGGAGAAGGGAAGGAAAGAGGGAGAAAGAAGAAGGAAAAGAAAAAGGAAGAAGGAAAGGAAGGAAGAAGGAAGAAGAAAGGAAAAAGGAAAGGGAAGGAAAGAAGAAGGAAAAGGAAGCAAGAAAAGGAAGGAAGGAAAGAGGTTGAGAAGGAAGAAAGAGAGAAAGGAAGGAAAGAAAAAGGAGGAAGGAAAGAGTAGAGAAGGAAGAAGAAGGAAAAGAAAAAAAGGGAAGGAAGGAAGAAGGAGAGAAAGGAAGGGAAGGAAAGAAAGAAGGAAGGATGGAAGCAAAAAGCAAAGGAAGGAAAGAGGAGAAGGAAGAAAGGAAAGGGAAGGAAAAGAAAAAGAGGGGGGAAGGAAGAAGGAAGAGGTAGAGAAGGAAGGAGAGAAGGAAAGAAAAAAGGAAGGAAGGAAAGAGGGAGCAAGGAAGAAGGAAAGAAGGAGAGAAAGAGGAGGGAAGGAAAGAGAGAAGGAAAGGGAAGCAAAAAGGAAGGAAGGAAGGAAAGAGAGAGAAGAAGAAAGGAGAAAGAGAGAAGGAAAAGAAAAAGGAGGGAAGAAAAAGAAGAAGAGAAGGAAGGAAGAAAAAAGAAGGAAAAGGGAAGGAAGGGAGGGAAGAGGGAGGGAGAAAGAGAGAAGGAAGAAAAGAAAAGGAAGGAAGAAAAGGGTAGGGAAGGAAGAAAGAAAGAAGAAAAGGGAGAAGAAAAAGAAAAAGGGAAGGGAAAGGAAGAGGAGAGAGGAAGGAGAGAAAGAAAAAGAAAAGGGAAGGAAGGAGGAAAGGGAGTGAAGGAAGGAGGGAAAGGAGAGAAAGAAGGAGGGAAGGTTGGCCACAGCAACGCGTGGCGAGTATAGCTATTATTTTTAATTTATTTTTATACATTTTGTGATTGTAAAACCACAAAATGTATAAAAATATATTAAAAATATTAATTCTCAACCCTAACCAGGAAACAGCGAGTCTGTGGAAAGCGAACCGCGACAGGGAGGAGGGACCCCTGTATCCCGAGCCCGGGCGATGACCCTTCCTTTTGCGCTCACCAGCAGCAAGTGGTTGCAGTGCTTGAGGTGCAAGACTAAGGCTTGGTCGAGGAACTCGTTGCCGGTGCTCATGGGCTCGGAGCCCTCCTCTGCGGCCTCTTCCGTCGCAGCCTCTCCGGCCGCCAGGACTCTGCTCGACGATGCGGGCTGGGCATGGGCTGTCCTCCTGGGAAGACAGGCAGCAAGAAACGTGGAAGCCTGAATGCCGGTCTTTCAGAAGCCAAAGTCCCTTCAACTCTCGGGACAACACAAACCCCGAACAAGAGCTTTCCAAACTGTGTGTTGGGATGTGCTAGAGCGTTGCCCGTGGTCCCTAGGTGTGTCACGTGAAAAATGCTCCCCCTCTCACCCCTACAAAGGCTGGTGTTGTTCAAGTGTAGGTACTAGGTTTAAAAAAGGTTCAAAACCCGTTTCGTATGTAGGGAGCGCTGGTGGTTCGATTCTAAAGGCACTTCTGATTTTTTTTAAAAAAAAATTCAAAACTTTCCGAAACTTCTGAATCGCTTCATTAATGGCAGACACGCATGCACAGTAGGAAAAAAAACAAAACAGCAAAAGTTGCTTATTGCTTTGCTGCCTTCTTTAGACACCTTTGTAGATTCAATCAGTTTATTTTATATTTAGATGAAGACTGCTATAGGCAGCTATTTTGGGTCCTTCAGCTATTTTGGCTAATGAGCAGCCAGGCAGTGTGGGAAATGTAGTTGAACAGCAGGGCCTTTTGCAATCTCTACCATTGGGGTCCTGGCCTTCACAAACTACAACAATGGCTGTGCTTAGCCATGCCCACCTCATCCAGCTGAGAGATCAAGAGAAGCTGAGAGAAGCTGAAGAGATCAAAAGAAGGTGGCGAGACTCTACAGAAGATCTGTATAGAAAAGATAATAGTACTGAGGATAGCTTTGACGGTGTGGTGAATGAATTAGAGCCAGACATCCTGAGGAGTGAGGTTGAATGGGCCTTAAGAAGCATTGCTAACAACAAGGCAGCAGGAGACGATGGGATCCCAGCTGAACTGTTTAAAATCTTAAAAGATGATGCTGTCAAGGTGATGCATGCCATATGCCAGCAAATATGGAAAACACAAGAATGGCCATCAGACTGGAAAAAATCAACTTATACCCATACCAAAAAAGGGAAATGCGAAAGACTGCTCAAACTTCCGTACAGTGGCCCTTATTTCTCATGCCAGTAAGGTAATGCTCAAGATACTGCAAGGAAGACTCCAGCAATACATGGAGCGAGAGTTGCCAGATGTTCAAGCTGGGTTTAGAAAAGGCAGAGGAACGAGAGACCAAATTGCCAATATCCGCTGGATAATGGAGAAAGGCAGGGAGTTTCAGAAAAACATCTATTTCTGCTTCATTGACTATTCTAAAGCCTTTGACTGTGTGGATCATAATAAATTGTGGCAAGTTCTTAGTGGGATGGGCATCCCAAGCCACCTTGTCTCTCTCCTGAGGAATCTGTACAAGGACCAAGGAGCAACAGTCAGAACTGACCACGGAACAACAGACTGGTTCAAGATTGGGAAAGGCGTCCGGCAAGGCTGCATCCTCTCACCCAACCTTTTTAACTTGTATGCAGAACACATCATGCGATGTGCGGGGCTTGATTAATGCAAAGCTGGGGTGAAAATTGCTGGAAGAAACATTAACAACCTCAGATATGCAGATGACACCACTCTGATGGCCGAAAGCGAGGAGGAGCTGAGGAGCCTTCTAATCAAGGTGAAAGAAGAAAGCGCAAAAGCCGGGTTGCAGCTAAACGTCAAAAAAACCAAGATTATGGCAACAAGAATGATTGACAACTGGAAAATAGAGGGAGAAACCGTGGAGGCCGTGACAGACTTTGTATTTCTAGGTGCAAAGATGACTGCAGATGCAGACTGTGGCCAGGAAATCAGAAGACGCTTACTTCTTGGGAGGAGAGCAATGTCCAGTCTCGATAAAATAGTAAAGAGTAGAGACATCAGACTGGCAACAAAGATCCGCCTAGTCAAAGCCATGGTATTCCCCTGTAGTCACCTACGGATGTGAGAGCTGGACCTTAGGAAGGCTGAGCGAAGGAAGATCGATGCTTTTGAGCTGTGGTGTTGGAGGAAAGTGCTGAGAGTGCCTTGGACTGCGAGAAGATCCAACCAGTCCATCCTCCAGGAAAGAAAGCCCGGCTGCTCACTGGAGGGAAGGATACTAGAGACAAAGTTGAAGTCCTTTGGCCACATCATGAGGAGACAGCAGAGCCTAGAGAAGACAATTATGCTGGGGAAAGTGGAAAGGAAAAGGAAGAGGGGCCGACCAAGGGCAAGATGGATGGATGGCATCCTTGAAGTGACTGGACTGACCTTGAAGGAGCTGGGGGTGGTGACGGCCGACAGGGAGCTCTGGTGTGGGCTGGTCCATGAGGTCACGAAGAGTCGGAGACGACTGAACGAATGAACAACAACAACAACCTCAATCAGGGTTTCACTGTTTCATCCATAGGGAAAAGCAGCATTGACTAAATCCACAAGCCAAATCTCCTTTCCTGGGGAGAGCCAGCCTGAGCTCGGAGGAGACTCCACTGTAGATGTTTTTATGACCAAAGATTGGCTAAGATAGCTTTGAATGGGCTGCAGTGGCAGCTTAATGAGAAATGTTCAACAAGTGGCATGCAGAAAAGGAGGGCAGGGAAAAATAACATTCCTGCATGCAATGCCAACCACTGGCCACCGGATGGCAGTGTTGCAGCTCATCCAGCCTGGGAAGCATGTTTGGCAACAGAAGCAGAATCTGCCCCAGAACCCAAAGGGAGAGCCTTTTGCCTCTCCCAGCATGCCAGGTGCAGATATTCTCCTGGAAGAAACCCCAGGCAGGCACAAGAGACAGAGAGAAACCACCCGTGGCTATTCCAGGGCTGCTATTCAGACAAGAAACAGGCACAGAGGTAAACTGAAAGAGAAGGAGAACCAAGAGAGTCGCCCTTTCACTCTGGCAAATGCAAAATAATACGATCAGGAAGTGGAGTGAATAATAATAATAATAATAATAATAATAATGTATTGTCGAAGGCTTTCATGGCTGGAATCACTAGGTTCTTGTGGGTTTTTCGGGCTATAGGGCCATGTTCTAGAGGCATTTCTCCTGACGTTTCGCCTGCATCTATGGCAAGCATCCTCAGAGGTAGTGAGGTCTGTTGGAAATAGGAAAATGGGTTTATATATCTGTGGAAGCCATTGAAATCTCAAGGCTTCTCAAGCACGGCTGGCGGGGACGAGAGATAGGACCTTCTCGGTGGTGGCCCCTCGGCTGTGGAACGCCCTTCCTGCAGACATTAGGCAGGCACCATCTCTCATGGCATTCCGAAAAAAGTTTGTGCAGGCGTTCGAGTAATCTAGTGCAATATTGGTAATTGAACATAGGAATGGAACAATGGACGACGAACCTGGACTACGCTTTGATGATGAGACGATTGGGCTGGTTATTGTAATAATGGTTTAGTGTAATTGCTTGTTGTTTATTAAGTGGATAATGTGTTAAGTGGTCAATTGTTATATTGTGCATTGAATTATTGCTGTTCTTATTGTGTGTAAACCTGTGAGTCGCCTTCGGGCTGAGAACAGCGGTATATAAGCAAAGTAAATAAATAAATAAATAAATAAATAAATAAATCTTGCATCAAGCAAGTGGACAATTTCAACAGAAAGGAGGAGACCATGAAAATGAACAAAATCTGGCTACCAGTATTAAAAAAACTCTAAAATTACAACAGCAAAAACAGCAGAGAGGAAACAACCAGGCACACATCTCTCAACAAAAGATTTTCCCAGGCTCAGCCATGGCCTTCAAATGCTAATGAAGGTGGTCAGTTGAAACATTCACACCTAGCTCCAGCAGAGAAGAGCTCTTTGTCCCACCCTAGTCATTCCACAGATATATAAACCCATTTTCCTACTTCCAACACACCTCACCACCTCTGAGGATGCTTGCCATAGATGCAGGCGAAACGTCAGGAGNAAATGCCTCTAGAACATGGCCCTAGAACCTAATAATAATAATAATAATAATAATAATAATAATAACAACTAAAAAAAAACTAAAAGCAAGCATTTTTTTAAAAAAGACATTCTTATAAAAAGAAACAGAGGCTGGATGGCCATCTGTTGAGGGTGCTGTGATTGTGGTTTCCTGTTGGGGTTCAGCCTCCGTGTGAACCTGACCCTGATTCTTTGATTGTATTTCCTGATGCAACTGAACAGGCCACTGAACATGTAGTTTTCCCTGATGGTTTGGAAACTGTTGATTCTGAGGGCAGTGGCTGGGAAAGTGAAACTAAACATCCTGATGAGGATGTTTCAGAATCAAGCGGTGATAACTCTCCAGAGGAGTTAACACCTGCCTTTTTTAATGAGGATAGAAGAAGGCAGATTTGGGAAAACAGGAGTGAATCACAGAGTCTGCGAAGGTCAAGTAGATTAAAGGAAAAGGAGGCTTCCAAGCCTGGAGGCGTGTCCCGAAACAGTTTCTTTAGTTTAAAGTGTCTCCCCCCGGGCTGTCTTGTTAGATCAAGCATCGTTTAGACTGAGGCATTACCTTGGCTGTAGTTTTCCCTGAAGGTTTGGAAACTGTTGATTCTGAGGGCAGTGGCTGGGAAAGTGAAACTAAACATCCTGATGAGCATGTTTCAGAATCAAGCGGTGATAACTCTCCAGAGGAGTTAACACCTGCCTTTTTTTAATGAGGATAGAAGAAGGCAGATTTGGGGAAACAGGAGTGAATCACAGAGTCTGCGAAGGTCAAGTAGATTAAAGGAAAAGGAGGCTTCCAAGCCTGGAAGCGTGTCCCGAAACAGTTTATTTAGTTTAAAGTATCTTTCCCCGGGCTGTCTCGTTAGATCAAGCATCGTTTTGACTGAGGCATTACCTTGGCTGAGTTCCCGTTTCCCATGGCCTGCATTCCCAGAGGCTTCTAGTTTCCAAGTACGGTTAGTGAGATACTAACAGGTTCCAGGTTTTTATAGTGTTGCTTTTGGAATTTTGATCTAGTTCAGAGATATTCCTGACTGCTGAGTTTTACTGTGGCTTTTTGACTTTGCATTTTCCTCTATTTTGTAACCATTTTTTCATCAATAAAAAAGGATTGTTTTTCCCACAGTCAAGTGTGGTGGATTTAATCTTATGGTCTTGTTTCCTGATCTGGGATGCAACATTTCCCTGCAAAAAGACAAGGTGACCCAGGTGATCTCTTCCTGCTTCTATGACTCGATGATATGAACAATACAAGCTTTCGAAGCTCGTGGGCAACATACCGGTAATTGGCTTTGGAGCTGAATTTCCAGGCACCTACCCTCAACTTCCCAGAGCACGGCCTCATCTTTGCTCACTCACCCTTCATCATCTGAGTCCTCGTTGTCCGAAGTGTTGAGGAAGCTAAAGCTCTCGAGGGCGTGCTCCACCGTCAGGCTCGTGCTGGACGCCCGGCTCAGGCACGCTCCCGCCTTCCGCTGCGGAGACGGAGGAAAAGCACACGTCACACACGGACACTCCCTCTCCCCTGCAAAGCCATCGCTGTAGAACAGGCCTGGGCAAACTTCGGCCCTCCCTCCCTCCTATTCCTCACAGCCTCAGGCCCCTTCCTTTCCCCCTTGCTTATGTTTTTAAATGCATTTCAACTGTACCCTCAGCTTGCTTCTGACACAATAAATACAAGGGTTGAATGAAAAGTAACGCCTCCAGCTTTGTAACTCCTCAACAGATGGCAGTCCTGGTATGTGGCAGGTACTGGCTTGTTCAGTAGACTCTCCTCTACTGTTCCATTTTGGCGAGAAGCCTTAGCATTGAACAATTGTGTTGTTAAAGTGTGAAGTATGGAACCCTGCGCAGACAGACGGTCAATGTGACTTAAGCAACGTGCAGTCATTGAATTCTTGACAGCAGAAGGTGTCACTCCAAAGGAGATTCATCAGAGAATGCAAGCTGTTTATGGTGATTGTGTTGATGTGAGTACTGTGCATTGTCGGGCAAGTAAGTTTAAAGATGTTGAGGTGGGAACATCTTGACTTGCATGACAAACAAAGAGTTGGACATCCTGTGACAGCAACTACCAAGTTTCACAAGCAAAAGGTTGACAGATTGATTCAGGACGATCATCGTATCACTCAGAAACTTCAAGCATAATTGGCATTTCACAAGAACGTGTGGGCCACATTATTGCTTTGCTTGGCTATCGGAAGATCTGTGCACGATGGCTACCCAGGAGGAGAGAACTGTGAGGCGCTGGTTGTGGAAACGGAGTGTCAGCTTCTTCCATGATGGCTTCAGAAAACTTGTTCATTGTTGGCAGAAATGTATCCAATTGTCTGATGATTATCTGTGGGTCACATTATTGCTTTGCTTGGCTATCGGAAGATCTGTGCATGATGGGGACCCAGGATGCCGACGTCTGAAATGAAAGCGCATAGACTTGAAACTTCAGAGACTGGATCCCACCACGTACAGCATCCTCCATACAGTCCAGTTTTAGCACCGTCTGACTTCCATCTGTTCCCGATAATGAAAGAAGATCTGCGGGGACATCATGATGCTTCCGATGAAGACGTTGTGAGAACTGTGAGAGGCTGGTTGTGGAAACAAGAGTGTCAACTTCTTCCATGATGGCTTCAGAAAACTTGTTTATTTATTTATTTTATTTATTTATTTACATTATTTATATCCCGCCCATATCAGCCCGCAGGCGACTCAGGGCGGTCTACATATCGGCACAATTCGATGCCATCAATACATACATTCAAAAAGCAAAAACAATTAAGTGCATTTAGGCAATAACAATTTAAAAAGAGCTCTATCCTCTCATTCCAATCCTCGTCCATTTCATCGTCTTGGCTGTTCCATGGGTCATTCTCCATCTCAAGCTTGACTATCTATTCCGGGGTTCCGAAGGCTTGCTCGAAGAGCCAGGTTTTCACCCTCTTACGAAAGGTCAGGAGGGAGGGGGCTGATCTAATATCCCTAGGCAGGGAGTTCCACAGCTGAGGGGCCACCACAGAGAAGGCCCTGTCCCTTGTCCCTGCCAAGCATGCTTGCGAAGCAGGCGGGATCGAGAGCAGGGCCTCCTTAGATGATCTTAACTTCCTGGAGGGTTCGTTGGAAGAGATACGTTCGGATAGGTAGGCTGGGCCGGAACCGTTTAGGGCTTTGTTCATCGTTGGCAGGAATGTATCCAATTGTCTGGTGATTATGTGGAAAAGTGAATAGTGGTCGTTAAAGAGCGCATTCTAAGGATTATTTCTGCGTTTGATTTATTAAAATATTCCCATCCAAACCCAAGTAACGAAGGTGGAGGCATTACTTTTCATTCAACCCTCATGCATGCGTGTGTGTGCGTGTGTGTATAGTGCCTATGATTACAGTCCTTATTTTCAGCACCAGCTACACTGAATGGGGCGAGGCCATCCTTCCAGCGGGAAGCGGAATCCCTTTCCGTGCAGGCTTACCAGGATCATTTCCTCCAGGTGCTTCAGCTCCTGCTCCAATGTCTGCAGCTCTGGAAACTGTCCCCGGTAGTCATCCAGAGCCGAGGCCAGGGAGTTGATGGCCTCCTCCAGGCCACAGTCCACGGCACGTTTGGGCCTCGGCACCTGTGAGGCACCTGCTGAGGCTGCTGGGGGTGTCAACGAGGACTCGGGCGCCTCGGCTTCCTGGTCCGGGCAGGCAGGCTCCTTGTGCCGCTCTGCCACGGGCTCAACCGTACTTGTGTCGGCCTCTTGCTCTTCACCTTCACTGATCGTAGTGTCCAACGCCAAGTCCGCACTTTGAGGCAAAGCGTGTGTTGCGAGGGAAGGCGGCTCCTGAGGACGAGAGTCCCTGGGGG